TTCCATTAGGGGGGTCCACGTTTCGCAAGCGTAGAGAAGAGAGGGAATGACCGTGGCCGAGAAGACCTGAAGCTTAGTACGGAGCGACAGACCAGGTAGCTTCCACACAGCGTTACGCAACCGATGAAAAGATATTGCCGCTCGACTGATTCGGAGTGAGACCTCTGCTGTTAAACTGGAGCCAGTCATAAGCACACTACCCAGGTATGGGAAACTCTCCACTCTCTCCACAACTGCCCCATCACCGATTGGGAGTTGTGGGGGTGGAGTGTCCGATGGTACAAAATACCCAGGCAGGTGCTTAGTTTTGGTGGGGCTGATGGTAAGGCCCCACCTCTTAGTGGCACGCTCCAGTCTCAGCAGCAGCGTCTCCAACTCCTCCTCTGACTGAGCAGCTATTACCAAATCATCAGCATACATAACGTGGTTGACCAATAGGGAGCCATCCCTTGACTGCACCCGGGCATCGATCAGCCTCCCATTATATCTGTACCATATGGAGATTCCCCCGGTACAGCTATTGAAGGCTTCACGAATTACGTGGTCAAAATAGATGTTAAATAATGTGGGAGCCAGAGGACATCCCTGTCGCACCCCAAGGTGTACAGGGAATGGCTGTGACTCCCGGCCACGTAGTTTTACCCGGGCCCGCTCACCATCATGAAGGTCCTTAATGATCGTGAGCAGAGGGTCAGGTACTCCAAAAGCACGAAGAACGACCCAGAGCCCAGGCCTACTGATGGTATCATAGGCCTTGACCAGGTCAATAAAGCAGAGATGTAGGTCTTGTTGGAATTCCCTACACCTCTGCTGTAGCAGACGGACAGAAAATATGGCATCTGTGCAGGACCGCCCTTTCCTGAAACCGCATTGGGGCTCCGCAAGCCTCTCCTCAGCGTGCCTGGCAAGGCGATGCTGAATAATCCTTGCCAGGACCTTTCCCGACACACTGAGGAGTGAGATGCCCCTGTAGTTGTTACAGTCTGTGCGGTCCCCCTTCTTAAAGAGGGGGACCACCAGGGCATCCTTCCAATCCTGCGGAACCCGTCCAGCAGCCCAGACCGTTGTTATGATGTCATATAGGGCAGTCTGTGCACAAACGCCACCCTCCCTCAGCATTTCGCTTGGGAGATCATCTCTGCCCGCTGCCTTTCCTGGTCTCAGACTCCGGATCGCCTTCAGTACTTCCTCAACAGATGGCACCTCAGCCAGCCACTCACAGGGGGTGACTTCTTCCAATATTTGAGGCACCGCAGCCTCAGCAGGGTCATCCTCACTTTGTGCCACGATGTTTTCCTGGCTGAGGGATTTTCCCTCCCCCAGGACCTCACAGAAATGCTCAGCAAATCTGCAAACCTGTTCCTGGGGGTCAGAGATTTGATCACCGTTTTTTCCCTAATGATGGTAATAGGTGTGGCACTGCAGGTTACTTTTTTGATGGAGTTAAATAGAGATTTGTGATCACGGACAACTGAGGCAGACTCCATCTCCTCAGCAACCCGCGACCACCACCCATCCTTGCAGCGCCTCACGGCTCTCCGAACCTCCGAGCGAAGGCTGCGGTAAGCCTCCTCATTCTCTGACGTGGGATTCTGTAGCCGATGACAGTGGGCCTGTCGCTTTTTCTCAACCATCCTGAACACCTCCTCTGTCAGCCAGGGTCTCTGGGGAGGTCTGGACCGCGTACCCAAAGCAGCCATTGCAGCTGCATGAGTCACAGTCCTAAACCTCGCCCATTTACCCTCGACATCAGGAGGAGTCGGGGACGATGCCAATCCCAGCCGCAAGCGATGATGAAATTCTCGCTTGCAACTTTCATCAGATAACTGAGACCAGGCCACTTTAGGTCGGAATGGGGTCCTGGGTGTACACCCACCACCGGAGTGGAAGAATGGCAGGCACATCTTACAGATGACTAGTCGATGGTCAGAGGGGAGATCAGCTCCACGGTAGGTCCTGGTGTCAAGGACATAGGCTCGCATCCGCTGGTCCGTCACTATGTAGTCCAGCAGATGTTCTTGCTTGGACCCGGCATGCATCCATGATGTTGTGTGGATGCGCCGATGCCGGAACAGCGTGTTGGTAATTACAAGCCCATGGGCTGCACAAAAATCTAGCAGCCTCCTACCGTTGTTATTGAGCTGATCTGGCCCATGCCCTCCAATCACTCCAGACCAGGTGCCAGTATCATGACCAACTCGGGTATTAAAGTCACCCAACATGATGACTCTATCCCGAGGGGCCACTTTAGCCAGCACCTGTGACAGGAGGTCATAGAAGGGATCTGACTCATCGGCTTTGCCTGCGTCCCTCCACGGATGTTCATCTTCGGTGGGGGCATAAGTAACCACGACCACCATTCCTCGCCTCCGGTTGATGGGAAGGCGAGCCCAAAGTAGCCTGGGGCTAACAGCTTCCCACACCTCACCGCCACGCTCCCACGCCCCCTTCATTCTTTTGTTCAAAAGAAGAGCCACACCCTGTTGTTTGGCAGTCTGCTGCCCCGAGTAGAGGACATACACACAGACATACACACACATACACACAGACACATACACAGCGCGCTAACCACTACACTACAATGCGTTACGCTTCCACACACAGACACACACACACAGACACATACACAGCGCGCTAACCACTACACTACAATGCGTTACGCTTCCACACACATACACACACACAGACACATACACAGCGCGCTAACCACTACACTGCAATGCGTTAAGCTTCCACACACATACACACACAGAGACACACACAGACACATGCACAGCGCGCTAACCACTACACTACAATGCGTTACGCTTCCACATGCGCGGGTCACGTGACAGACTTGACGTCACAGCTCATTTGCCGTGCAAAAAAATAAATGCATTATTGAGCATTTGAGCTCCCCTCCCCCCCAAAAAAGTGTCTTCTTATCATTTTTGCATGGTGTACAGTCTAGAAAGTACCCACATGGCAAATTTCAAGTTTGTTGCATGTCGGGAAGTACGCTAAACATTTTGAACAGACACACACAATCACAACTTTGCCTTTTATATATATGGAGATAACAGTAATGAGAAACGGGAACCACCGCAATAAAAGCACGGCTCACTCCAACCCACACCAGGAGATCCGCTGTCGCCGTCCTAATCGCGGGAATAAAACGTCCCCGTCCCTTTCCCCGTGCACTGGTGTACACGTACCGCCAAATAGGTTAAAATGTAACTTGTTTACAGGTCGTGTAAAAATGTGTCCGTAAACCCTCCTCCACCTGACGCAGCCAACTATGAAAAGCGTCACGTGACTCAAACGTTTCAAATGTCCGCCCGCACTACCGGTGCTAAATTGGTAACCGACGTTTCGTTGCAAATTGCATCCAGCATCATCAGGTTAACAGCTCGGATCTGGAGTGAAAGCACTTCCTGATCCGGGTCCTTGAGTCTTGAGCTATGACGTGATCGGCACAGTCATACACGTGATCTATTATTAGTCGTCATGCACGTGTACTAACAATTGGACAGAATTGTAAGGACAACCTCCCCGTAGAGGTGCATTAATCTAACATCTTTCCCTGTGTTGTCTTCTCTGTGTATGTATCTCTACTTGATGTAACTTTGCTTCGTTTTCGTTTACCGTGGTTGGTGTCACCGTTTTCGTTTATTTCCCATGTGCATTCTCCGTTTTCGTTTTCCCATGTGTTTCCCCCGATTTGTTGCCTGCATTGGTATTTGCATGTCCATGCACGGTTACCCATCCCTTCCCCCACCTCTACAGCCTATACCCCTCCGTGCATCTTTCTGTGTGTGCCTCTCCATGTGTGTATGTCTCTTGGTGTGGTGTTACTCGTTGTGTCCCTCTGTACTGCCCAAAACACCTTTCCCTGTGTATGTATCTCTGCTACCTTGTACCTCGTGTCTGTTCACGAGTCCTTATCCTCTGTTTACATTGGTGTGTTCAACCTATAAGATGAACACAAGATTTAGCAGTCTTTTGAAATACGTGGTCAACCAGGTTTAGTGTCTAACCATGTTGTTGGCCGACTGGGTTGCATCGCATTAAGTTTCTAAGGTTTGCTGAGTTCGCGTCTCCCATCTTATTGCTGTATTTTCTTCCGTGCAGTTTGCTGTTCTCTGTGTGCTCTGTGTGTGATGTCCCTCTGTGTGCGTGTCCCTCTGTGTGCGATGTCCCTCTGTTTGCGATGTCCCTCTGTGTGCGATGTCCCTCTCTGTGCGATGTCCCTCTCTGTGCGATGTCCCTCTGTGTGCGATGTCCCTAAGTGTGATGTCCCTCTGTGTGTGATGTCCCTCTGTGTGCGACGCCCCTCTGTGTGTGATGTCCCTCTGTGTGTGATGTCCCTCTGTGTGTGATGTCCCTCTGTGTGTGGTGTCCCTCTGTGTGTGATGTCTCTCTGTGTGTCATTTTATTTTATTTCTACATACGTGACTTTACCGAAAGAACCAATGAGTATAGTAATTCCTGCAGTCACGAAAGCTTCAATCCTAGTATAAGTAGTTGGTTGCTTCATTGGTGCTGCCCTCTCTCCCTTTCTCTCTCCCCCCTCTATCTTTCTTCTCTCCCTCTTCCCCTCTCTCCCCGCCCCCGAGTCTCCCTGACAACCGTCCACTCCATCCACATCGTTAGCATACAGAACAAAATAAAAATAAACATTTACATTAATTACAAAAATCAACACACGGTAGGCGCTTCAACATTCGAAGGTATACCATCAAGGGCAACACTTTATACAGGACACAAAGAAGACCGAAATAAGCAATAAAAAAAATATCGAGTTGGGCAGAGCATGCTAAACTCACGTGCAGATAAATGGGTACTGTGCAAGCCTTTTAAATTGAGTGCAAGGGAGTCCAAGCGAGTGGCCCTGGGAAGGGAACTTCATTGCCTCGGTAACACTTACACATAGGTGCTCGCTTACGGGCCTTGCTCCAACAGTCTGTGTTGGGCTGCACGGGGGATTGTTTTTACTTTGTACATGTCTGTGTGTGCATCAGAGCTGGGCGGACACTGGGGCTCATCAGCACTCTGATAATCATGAAGAGGACGATTTCCTCAATGAAACGAAATAGGTTTGCTTATTTTCGATTTTATTTCCCCCCCCCCCTCAATTCTATCCCAATTTTGCTCTCGCTGTCATGCCACGAGACGAATAATCCATTCGGGTCTCGCAGAGCAACAAAACGTTTAATGACAGAGATCGGCCTGTGAAAGTCGACATCACAGGGTTACCTCTGAGATGCCTTCACGTGTTCTCTGATACACACGTGAAAGGGGCAGCACTTTCCCACTTGTCACGTTCACAGCTTCTACCTTCTGCTGGAAGAAAGCCATGTTGACAGCTGTGCGTTGGTGTGTGTGATCTGCAGGTACCTCCAAGAATCCTCGGCAATGGCCCTGTCCCCAAAGCTCTCGTCTGCACAACAGCAGAAGCTGCTCCGAGCCCTGAACCTTGCCAACAAGTCCCTACGCCTCCTTTACAAGGGCAGCACAGACGGCTTCAATACAACGGCGTTCCACACGAAATGTAACAACAAAGGCCCTACCATCACCGTTGCGTACAACGCCCAGGGGTACATTTTCGGGGGCTACGTTTCAGAGACCCTAACGTCTCGGGGAGGCTACATTGCAGACAACGACTCGTTCGTGTTTCGCTTGGAGGCACCAGGAAACCCATCCCCCTCTGTGATTAAACCTACCAATACATCACACTCCTTCTATGATGCTTCAAACTACGGTCCTACTTTTGGAGGTGGGCACGACCTCATGTTTCTCCCCAACAACGGTTCCAATGGCTGCAGTTTCACGGGCAGTCTGGGCCACACGTACAGTGCAACAAACGCCGACATCTTCGGAAACGACTTGGCTCTGCAGGAGCTGGAGGTGTACACCCTTGACGGTACTGAGTAATTTCACAGTTGCACAAATGGCCCGGCATTTGTAAAGTGACGCAGCACCTACACATGTGCACCATTTGATTTCACACACGTTTGAAATTACATCGGGATGCAGTTGTTCAACATGTCTCGCAGCCAGTGGTGTAGCGTGGTGGGTATTGAGCCCTGGTGCAAGGAATGAAATGAGGCCACCTGTCCAGTTTCCAAGGTGGAGGCCTTAATCCAATGGTGACCCATCATGGCTGATAATGAAGCTTTTAATGTCGCGTCATGTGTTTCCTCTTGTCATAGAGAAACTGCTGGCCGAAAAGCCATGGAGAAATGTTTCATGGACTGAAGAGTAAGTGAACACTGCCTTGTCACGCAGCAACCTATCGCCTGGGATTTTGGGGAATGGCCCTAATGCATGACAGCCCCATGAGAGACACCAGCAATAGCTGTGAAGCAGGACCCTCCCTTGCCGTTGGCAAAGATACAGCACTTGCGTGTCGACAAGTGACCACAGCAATAAGAGCGGCCAGAACATCATCTGTGATACATCACAGGTTCACGTTCTGCAACCAATCTGTTTAACTGAATCACTCGATAACGCCGTGGGCTTCATTACATTGAGGAGGCTGGTAGATGCCTTGGAGGGAGATTTATAGCCCATACCTTTAGTAACGTAGGGCTAACAATGTGTAAAATTTTTTTTTTACCAAAGTAAAAAAATATTTTGATACAATACTTTATTAAATATATGCGGCCACCGGTTTTTAGTGCACGCTCGCACACTCACACAGTGGGCGGCTGCACAGTTTCCGTGGCGCGTAGCCCCCTTCTGCCGTAGCCCTGTCTCGCTCGCTTTCTCCATCCTTGTCTCTCTTCTACTTTTTTATGCTTCTCGCTGGAATTAATTATTATTCTTCCTCTTGCTTTCTCTCTCCGTTTTTGTTATATATGTTTCTCCGTCCTAGCGTCGGCTGAGTGGGCGGTCGATTTCCGGGACGCTTGACTGTCGAGATCGCGCGTGTCGACGTCGTTGGAAACGACCTTGACCAATGTCGCGCGGCTCTCCTGCCGATCGGACGTGGTGGCCGCTCTGTGCCCCTCCGCGATTATCCCATCGCTTTGCGAGCACTGTCCTGTTTTGTACGTACGCACGTACGTTGAACTGCTTTGTCCGCCGCACGTAGCCAACCGCGCTGATCGAAGGTTCGCCGGTTTGTTTCCACCGGATGTCAGGAAGCGAGAGCAGCTCATGCGGGACGTGTGCAGCCACACCACACAGGACGCGCGTGTGAAGGCCCCGCGCGTTCTGCTGCTGGGCCAGGTTGGCGCGGGAAAGTCGAGCTTCTTCAACTCCCTCGATACTGTCTTCGCGGGCCACGTGACCACGCGCGCAGCAGCGGGCAGCAGCGGATCCAGCCTCACCTCCCGGGTAACCCTCGCGGTCACGGAGCGAAGGATTCGAGGCCGGGAAGCTGCGGGGCCAAGGACGAGTCGTGGCCGGGAGCCTTTTAGGACGAGGCCAGCATCAAGACCAGATCCTCGATGTGGCTGTAGTGAGAAAAGCTCGTGTTGCAGTGCGAGAAACTGTCAAACACTGTGAAACAAAAACTGATTGCTACCTAATTATGATTCTCACGATTCAATTCTGTGTAATCATGTGTTTTCATGAACATTCAGTGATTATTTAGATGTTTTTATTACGCAATTCATTATGAGAAACACAGTTTTAAACACCCAAGTCTGTGATGTCCTTGGACCAAGGATGAGAGCTGAGAAAGTGTCCCCTTAGCCGGCCTCTGCTTCTGGAGCTCGATTTTTACTGATATTGGAAATGCCGGCCCAATTCTCAAATCTAAATCAAATGTACATACAGGCATACCTCTCATAGCGCTCAGGATGCAGTCTTGGTAAATGGAGCGCTGGACGAAACAGTGCTACGGGAGGTCATAACACAATTCCAAAGTAGATGCATTACCGACAGTGTTATTCTTTTTACCTATGAGCGATATATGAGGCTTCATTGGGGTATCCGTAATACATCTTAATAAGGATACTGTACACATGATAAATGTATTAAAGCACTTTATAAATAAAAATAACTTTTAATGATGAAATAAAATAATAGGATAAGTTATATACTCACCAGCGCTCTGCGGGAAGTTTTATGAACCAAGGGGATTACTCGATCCATTGATCGCTTGCCAATTAATCTATGCAGTGAATAACCCTCGATGAATCGATACTCTAACGTGGCTGTCGGATCGACCATGAGCAGAATCGACATAGTAGACACCTCGTCAGGTTCCACAAGGACTATACGTGGACAAAGATGCATCCCTACGGGAAACGCCACGCTTACTTCCTGCCACATGTGGGCGGATCCGCACAGGATATTTGCTCCAGGAAAAAGAGCGTTATGAGAGGCAGCGCTATAAGAGGTATGCCTAGATTTGAGTTCGGTTTCATTTCATTTGGATTGGATTTGAGTATTGACTTTTCGTTTACTTTTGGAGAGCACCCTGGGATTCACTGCTCGAAGAGCGCGATGTGAGATTATTCTACTGCACTTGTGTTCAGCACAGGGTGGTCGAGTGGTTCATAATGGCCATGTCAGATGACTGAGCCAGCACTTGGGTTCAAACCTGGGCAGTCGCTCATAAAGAAGCCAGAAATAAGCCCGGGTTGTTGTTCCAGATGAGGCTCCCTTTGTAAAATGTGGTGTTGGTGAATGTTTCCCCCATGCGTATATGCAACCAAGAAGGGAGATATTCGTTTTGCTATGCCCACGTATTTTTTATTTGTGCATGTAATCATGTGCAGGTGTGCCGTGTGTGTGGGTGTTCAGTTCCGCACATATCAGCTGTTTGCCGGGAGAGGAGGCAAGCCAGTGCCTGTGCAGCTATGCGACACCATGGGGATGGAGGAGGGCCCGGGCACCGGCATAGACCCGGAGGACGTGGTCAGCGTGCTGCAGGGACACGTGCCCGACCGCTACCAGGTGATCAAGCCTCAGCTTGTTACACACAACAGCCTCATTGAGGAATGTACATCACGAAATGGCCAGGTGGCTCGGAGGTTCAGAGCACCGAGCTGGCTTCGCAGACATCCTCGTGTGACATGGAGCATGCTCATGCATATTCAGATAGGTGTGGTGTGACACGTTATGCACATTCATGCGAGGTGAGCTCATGCATTTTCATAGACATAGCATATAAGGTGTCACTTCCTGCATGGACCGAGAGCAATGGCGTCACTTAAGCTTTGGCGTGTGCACTAAGCACTGGACTGAGAACTCCGTAAAGTCTGTAAAGTTACCAGACGGACACAATGTGTGTGTTTACGTTACACAAGGCATAATGTTACACCTGGGTTACAATCTAGTTAAGTCGCCTGTGGTTACACCGGGTTCTCAAGTGTAGTGAGTTGATGATCTCAACCCGGTTACCGGTGACTCCAGTGTTCACGTGATGAACATTATTGTCAGTGGCAGTGTGGGTGGGAAATTGCTGCTCCCTCCTGCGTGGACCAGAGGTCACTTGAAAGGGATCTTGGAGGTAGCTCTGCGATATTCGCTTCTAGGGCCGCTCTCAAACATCAAGGGTTGCACTACTCTGTGAGGGATGTGTTGTCGGACCAAAGGCGTACATCACCACCATATCTGATAATAGATATGCAAGTCAAATAATAATTACTTTTGACACTTGATACACATGTAGAAATGCTGTCCCAGTGTCTCAAAGTTTTGCGTAAATCGGGATTTTGTCCCCGATTGAACATTTTATGGCATCTTGCTTGATTGACAATTGTACAAAGGGCGGAGCTACCCGACTAGTGGGAAGGACCAATGCAGAGCCAGGAGGCCACTCCCTGTGTGGGTGGTGCTGGTGACTGAGTGGGCGTGGCTATACAAAAGTAGGTGGGGCTGATGGAGAGAGGGGCTGCCAGTTTTAACACGACGCATCCCGGTTGAGCCTCCCAGAAGAACAGGAAGTGGTGTGTTGTCCACGTTCGTGACGGTGTCTCCAAATGCTGCGTACGTTCGTAGTTCAACCCCGTGGCATCAATCGAGCGCAGCTACCCGGGCTACATACAGGAGCCCGAGCTAGCGCAGCGCGTGCACTGCCTGGTGTTCGTAATCGACGCGGGCAAGGTGGCCGTCATGTCGGAGCGCATGCAGGCCAAGCTGCAGCTCATTCGCAGCAAGGCCAACAAGATGGGTGAGGCGGCCTCGCACTCACACCACGACTTGTCCACCATGCATTGCCGGCCGGGCGTGAGAGGCCGGTGGAGCCCCACCAGAGAAATAAAGGAAAATGGAATTGCTAAACAAACTTGCATCCACACTGTAGAGTTTAAAATGTATTTAATTTTATATTTTACACAAGAAAATTTACAAACAGGTGCTCGCTAACAGCACTCACCCCAAGTGTTTAAGACAATACTGGGAATCTGTGTGTATTGAGTGGTGGTGCAGTGGTTCATTACTACGCTTTGAATATGGCCACCTGAATTGAGTCCTGGTGAGGGTTGACAGTGGTGAATCGTATCCGAACTTGTCCTGGGTCTTGCCTAGGCTGACTCAGTCTTAATCGAGCACCTGGTGTGATGTAAACATAAGCATTGGTGAGACCAAAGCCAGCTGGGCATGATGCTGGCAATATCCTTTCATATGCCATGACAGCTCAATAATAGCACTCGCTCCAACAATACAGGTTAAATGGGGGATCTGGCTCCTGTGTATTTGTGTGTTCATGGTTTGTGATTTTTCCCTGGCCAGGTATCCCGCAACTCATCCTGTTGACCAAAGTGGACGAGGCATGTCCTCTGGTCGAAGAGGACATTCAGAACATCTATCGTAGCCAATATATCAAGGAGAAGGTAACGTCAGTTTAATTCACGACCTTTATACAGCAGTTCTAATAAATGAGGCATTGTTGCATCTGCATGGTAGTTGAGGTCATCATCATTCTAATAGCTGGGCTCTGGTGGTTATGCACACGTGTAATCGAGACCTGTGGAGCCAAGGATTGGTGGATTACACAAAATTACTGGGTCGTGTTTTCTTGTCAACCTGAGCCTCATAGCAAGTAGCTGGTGGGATGTGTAAACATCGCCACTAGGGAGACAAAGGCAGTCGGGCGTGGTGCTGGCCACCCACCCTCTCGTGTGCCGTGCTGGCCTTCATAGGCACTGCTCGCTAACACCACTTGCCCCAACAGTCTGTTAAGGCTATGTGGGGGATCTTTGGCTTTGTGTGCACACGTGTGTACGGTTACTCGTGTGCCTGACCCCCGCCGGCAGGTGGTGGAGGTGGCGTCGCACCTGGGAATGCCCGTGTCCTCCGTGCTGCCCATCAAGAACTACGCCGTGCAGCTGGAGCCCGACACCAGCAGCGACATTCTGCTGCTCATGGCTCTGCTGCAGATGCTGCGCTATGTGGACGACTTCCTCATGGAGCTCGTGGAAGCCTGAAAGTGGCTTGGAGAGCCACTCGCATACATGGCCTAAATTTAGTGACCAGGGCGAGATCGGTTAGTGTTGCCAACTCCTCAAAGTGGAAAGTTTCCAAATGAAACTCAAACTATCACCAGATGTCGCTAAATCAAACCTCTAAAGTTTTCAAAATATTACTAGATAATTTACCAAGTATGGAACAAAGTAAATTGATATAGAGTCCTATATACCCGGGATGTCACTAAATATGAATATCCTCATTCAAGAAAGTCATAAGATGTCACTTTGACGATATTTTTCACAAGGGAAATGTAAACATTCACTAAATATAGAAACAAAACTGCTGAGCTGGCAAACCGAGATCGGTCCTTGTCCCCAAAATCTGCATGACCTCATCCCCCTCTGTACCTAATCCTCTCTGCTTTGGGTCCCCTTATTTACGTGTTATTTGTGGTCTAGGGAATTAAGCGGGAATCACGTTGCTTTGTTGGGTAGCAGTACAGGACAAGACAATGTCTTAGTTAAGTTCGTTCGTTTTGAGACCTACAATAATAGGGTTTTTCCCCTTTTTTCTGGCAACAAAACTGAAACCTTTTTACAAGGAATCATGTCTGCATTAACCACAATACTTGCGGTCAAAATGCAAACAAAAAACACACTGATAATATATGCATTGTCCTTGAAACTGATTGGTCCACACCAGAGATGGATTTTTTTTAGCCTCATCTCAATTGATGCTCGACCAGAAGACACCAAAAGGCGTACAGCTCAAAGACAATGCACTATCAAAGTAATGAGGGCTCGGAGTAAGCATCTACATCATTAGACCTTTGCCAGTACCAAAATATCCTTGTAAAAAGGTTTCAGTTTTGTTGCCAGGAAAAAGGGGAAAAACCCTATATTTTGGTACTGGCAAAGGAGGTCTAATGATATAGATGCTCACCCCGAGCCCTCATTACTTTGATGGTACATTGTCTTTGAGCTGTACGCCTTTTGGCGTCATCTGGTCGAGCACCAATTGGGTCGAGGCTCAAAAGAAAGCCGTCCCTTGGTGTGGACCAATCAGTTTCAAAGACAATGCATATATTATCATAGTGTGTTTTGTTTGCATTTTGACTGCAGGTATTGTGGTTAATGCAGAAATGAATCCTTGTAAAAAAGTTTCAGTTTTGTTGCCAGAAAAAAGGAGAAAAATCCTATTATTATAACCCATGTTTTGTCAGGATGACTTTTAATATTTTACTGTAGTTGCCCACTATTTGGAACTGTCCATGAAATGAATGTCATATCTTTCAACGACTATTTACAGATAATTAAATAGCACCATCTAGCGTTGAGTGACTCTAAAGTTACGACCTTCGGTAATCGATTCTTGACACGAGACGCGTCTTCAGGAAGCACGGAACGCGACAGTGGAAGTGGACATTTACAATTATACCTTAAAACCCTGAAAGAGGAGCAGGCCCCAGAACAGCTGGTTTGGTCATCCCAACCCATAACCTCCAACAGATGCCACTGCCATCGCAGGGAACCTGATAACAAACTTTCATGATGCAGACACGAGCAAAATATGATACAGGTACTCCAATGCATACAATAATTTGTCTTAAGTTGACGAATGCTTGTCCCTTTGTAACAATACATTACAAAAATTGGTTGCATATTTGAAGCACCCAATGTTATAATTGCAGTTTATCTTTGAGGACATGCGTTTGCCAAAATGCTGTCCTGGAGATTAGATTGTAAATGCTTTGGTCCTTAATAAATTGATACAATAATATAATCAGACGTTGGATATACAGTATTATTTTTTAGTGTTTATTTATTGGTGATGTGTTGACGGATAGCACGGTTGGCTACGCACGGTGCGAAAGCAGTTCAACATACGCTAGACTTAAATTAAGTAAAACGGAGTGCCCATAGACTATAAGGGATGTCGTAAAAGTCTATAGGCATTCATTCTTCTGTCATTCGTTGCAGTCCGTCCCGTCTCTATTGTTTATACTCCCCATTACACGACATGACACTTATACACAGTGCTTTGCTTGGCCTCACGTAGCTGAACTTTCATTACGTTAACGATGAAAAATGCTGGTTCTGAACACTTTGGAACAGTAGGTAATTCACTTAAAAGGCATTAGTCATGTTGCAGGATATATTATATTGTATTAGCTTGACTACCCGGCTTCGCCCGGGGCTTGGATTCACCACGCCCGGCCGCCTTTATCTCCCCAGTAGCGATGTTCACACACCACACGAGTTACTCGTTTGAGGCTGAGTCCACCTAGGGGAGGCCCAGGACCGGTTAAAATAATGGTCACCGGTGGTGGCCGTGAGCGGGAATTGAACTCGGATGATCGGGTTCGTAGTGCAGCGCGCTAACCACTACACTACAATGCGTTACGCTTCCACATGCGAGGGTCACGTGACAAATTTGACGTCAGCTCACTTGCCGTGCAAAAAATATGCATTGAGCCCCCCCCCGCCAAAAAACTAAAGTGTATTTTAATAATTTTTGCATGGTGGTGTACAGTCTGGAAAGTACCCACATGGCATATTTCCAGTTTGTTGCATGTCGGGAAGTACGCTAAACATTTTGAACAGACACATAATCACAACTTTGCCTTTGATATATATGGAGATTTCGGCAGGAAAGGACCCCCCCCCCCCCGCCATATTGAGTTGTTGGGCTCTTATTTGAGCGTCCAAAATTGAGTAAACGAGCCCGGGGCCGTGAACGGATGAGGCGGAGCAGTGACATGAGCTCGTGTTCAGGTGACTCATTACAATCAGGAGGCCGCGAGCGACGGCAACGGCACGGGGAGGCCCTCATCCAGCAGTGGGTAGATCGTGGCTGGCGATGACGAGCGCGACTCGGGCCTACCCCGCCCTCTGCTAGGTTTCCCTACGTGAGGCGTGGGCACGCGTGTAGGGCCACCAGGCAAGAAAGGAGGGTGGGGTGGGCCTGATCAGCAGGGGCCCACTAGGCCTCAATGTTTAAAACGAAACGCACTCATTGCTGATCGAGCAGATGGGACGTGGGTTGAGGGGGGGGACACGCGTGACGAGGCGGCGCCCCCCCCCCCAGCGACGAGGAGGCGGCGGCTCCACGCCGGGGGAGGGAGGGGAGCGCCTCGTTACCTCCTCCTCAATCGTCATCATCATCAAGCGGCCGCGTCAGGTTTGCAGCGCGAGGGAGACTACTTCCGGTATCAGGGTTACGTTTCCGGGTCAAGAGTCAACGGGGCGGGTCGCCACTTCCGTCGTCGAGCGCATGCGCGCCCGCTCCGCGGCATTCGGGGCCCGTGGCCCGAAACGTCGCCCGCTGCCAGCCGTCGCCTCGCTCCTCGCGTTCGGCTGTTGACGACGACCGTCCCGAGCTTGTGGTTTGTTCGCGAGAGTTGGCGGCCGGCAGAGATCCGCGTGGCGAGGAGAGCGAGGTTGGGGAGCGAGATGTCGGAGAGCTGAGGGGTCGAGTGAGGAGGGTAGAAGAGGTGAGAGGGGGGGTTGAGGTGGGGGGGTTGAGGTGGGGGGGTTGAGGTGGGGGGGTTGAGGTGGGGGGGTTGAGGTGGGGGGGTTGAGGTGAGGGGGGTTGAGGTGAGGGGGTTGAGGTGAGGGGGTTGAGGTGGGGGGGTTGAGGTGGGGGGGTTGAGGTGAGGGGGTTGAGGTTGGGGGTTGAGGTGAGGGGGTTGAGGTGAGGGGGTTGAGGTGGGGGGTTGAGGTGAGGAGGTTGAGGTGGGGGGTTGAGGTGGGGGGTTGAGGGTTGAGGTGAGGGGGTTGAGGTGAGGGGGTTGAGGTGAGGGGGTTGAGGTGGGGGGGTTGAGGTGAGGGGGTTGAGGTGGGGGGTTGAGGGTTGAGGTGAGGGGGTTGAGGTGAGGGGGTTGAGGTGAGGGGGTTGAGGTGGGGGGTTGAGGGTTGAGGTGAGGGGGTTGAGGTGAGGGGGTTGAGGTGAGGGGGTTGAGGTGAGGGGGTTGAGGTGGGGGGGTTGAGGTGGGGGGGTTGAGGTGGGGGGGTTGAGGGTTGAAGTGAGGGGGTTGAGGTGGGGGGGTTCAGGGTAGAGGTGAGGGGGTCCTCATGGCGGGCTCGTCGTCAGGTAGCGCGGACCTCGACCTCGCCGCCCCCGGCGCGGACCTCGCGCTGCCTCCGCTCTTCGGGGGTCACATCCTGGAGGCTGAGGTGAGACTCACACAGCCATAGTACTGACCCCACAGCCATAGTACTGACCCCACAGCCATAGTACTGACCCCACAGCCATACCACTGACCCCACAGCCATACCACTGACCCCACAGCCATAGTACTGACCCCACGGCCATACCACTGACCCCACAGCCATACCACTGACCCCACATCCATAGTACTGACCCCACAGCCATACTACTGACCCCACAGCCATAGCACTGACCCCACATCCATAGTACTGACCCCACAGCCATAGTGCTGACCCCACAGCCATACCACTGACCCCACAGCCATAGTACTGACCCCACAGCCATAGTACTGACCCCACAGCCATAGTACTGACCCCACGTCCATAGTACTGACCCCACGTCCATAGTACTGACCCCACAGCCATAGTAGTACTGACCCCATAGCCATACCACTGACCCCACAGCTATAGCACTGACCCCACATCCATAGTACTGACCCCACATCCATAGTACTGACCCCCCAGCCATACCACTGACCCCACAGCCATAGTACTGACCCCACAGCCATAGCACGAAACTCAGTCTTAGTACCAACCCCTTAGCCATAGCACTAACCCCATATCACAAACATTGTCTTCGCGAAAAACACAGCACTAGACAGCACTCATACAGGACTAATCCCATTGAACGGATATAGCTATATACCCATCGCGAGCTTATTAGCACTGCCATAGCACTTATCCCATAGCGCTACACTATACAGTGCCAACACTGACAGTAAACTATCTCTGACACTGCCCCAGCATTCGTGCCATAGACTCCGCCGGCGCTGATGTCGTCCGTTGCGGTGACCACCGCTCTCTGAACGCAGGTGGAGTTTGCGTCGAGTCCGGAGCGAGCGGCCGAGGCGAGCGAGTCTCTGCTGCCCCTGAGACGTCGCCACCTGTACGAGAGCAAATACCTCGCACTCAGGAAGCGCTGCGCCGAGATTGAGGGGGTGAGCCTGAATGCAGCGGTGGTGTGATGTTAACTACCTCACCTGGTATGCAGGAGGCTGAGGGTTCGGTCCTGACCCTGATGATGCCTGTATATTTGGAGTTTGCATGTCTCATTCCCCGTGGTCACGTGATTTTTTTCCGAGTCCTCCGGTTATTCCCTCCACGTTTAGAATGAACGTGCATTTAGCGTGTTTGACTGCTATACATTTCCACGTTGAGCTAACATTTGTGGCCAGGTCGCTTCTGAAAAAGAGCATTATAGCTCAGTGGGCCTTACCTGGTAAAATAAAAATAGAATAGAATAGTGAGTTGATGGTCTCTAGAGCCTCAGAGTCTTCTGAGAATGTATCCATGATGCTATCATGGGTAAGAATTTTACATTTAAAAATAGGTACGCATTAAGATGTTCCATTAAAACAGTTCCTGCATTGTTATAATGTGTTCATTATTATTAACTGTGTCCACAGATCAATGGAAAGATCCTCAACAGACTTTACCACGTGCGCAGAATCACGCGCCGTGTGAAGAAAGAGAGGTGGTAAGAGAAGTTGGCACCATCATATCCTCATCTTTTCGGCGTCATCATCACCACCAACCACCTCTCCCTCGATCAGCATACGCTAAGCATGTTTGTGTGTGTCTGTGTCCATGTCCGTGTGTGTAGAATGGTATTGTGTTGGTTAGTGCACTGCATTACAGACCTAGTGACCCGAGTTCGGATTCCGCTCACATCAAATGAACTAGAAGATATTTGAATCGGTCACGGGCCTCCCCTAGGTTGAGTCGGCCTCAACTGAGTACCTGGTGTCGTGTGTAAACATCAGTCAGGCGTGGTGTTGGCAACCCACCCCTTGTGTGCCATACCGGCCTTCATAGGTTCTACTTGCCAAGAGCACTTTCTCCAGTTGTCTGTTATGTCTATATGGGGGATCTTTGCCTTTGATGTTTGTATGTGTATGGCTTCTTTTGTGTTTGAATGTGCGTGTTGATGCACGTGCACACGTTTCTTGTGTCTTCGTACGCACGTGCCCATCGTTGCTTTTAGTGTGTGTGTATGTGTACTTGCACGTGTATTGCACATGAGGGGTGCTGTGGAGGCTAGGAGATGTTAACTACCTCGCCAGGTATACAGGAGGTCGTGGGTTCGATACCGACCCTGACGCCTGCTGTATATTTGAAGTTTGCGGTGTCTCACATCATCATCACGGTGGCTAGGATATGTTAACTACCTCGCCTAGTATATCATTTGTGATAGCCAGGTCGCTTCTGAAAATAAATGTATAGCTTGGTGGGCCTTACCTGGTAAAATAAAAAAAAAATGTTTAGAATAGTTAAGTTTAGTATGTGTGCGCGTGTGCTGTGTGTGCGCACACCTGAAGCCTCAGCCAAGGTGCTGGGTGCACCGCGTGACGTTTTACGGTCACGTGGAGAGAAACGCGACCGCCCGCTCCGTGTTCCCCTGTGCAGGTTTTTGATGAAGAGGCTGGACGACTTCAAGGACAACTACAGGGAGGTGCAGCTGCCCATCCTGTTTGAGGTAGGAGCTGTGGACTGGTGGTCACATACCAAAGACGAAGATCCCCAGTATAGCCTTAATCGACTGTTGGGGCAAGTGTTGTTCGCGAGCAACTATGAAGGCCGGCACGGCACACAAGGGGGTGGGTGGCCAGCACCACCCCAGGCCGCCTTTGCCTCCCCAGTGGTGATGTTTACACACCATACCAGGTACTCATTTGAGGCTGAGTCGAGCTAGGGGAGGCCCAGGACCGGTTCAGATAATCGTCACTGGTGTTGGCTGTGAGCAGGAATCGAACTCGGGTCACCGGGTTCATAGCGCAATGCGCTAACTGCAACACTACCACTCGCCATCGGCGACCTAGGGGAGGCACAGGACCGGTTAAGATATTCATCACATCCTAATTAGGTACTCACAAACAAGGCGTAGGTCTTCCTTAGACTGCCTTACTGACTGCTCGTGTGAGTGCCGTGAGTACCCACGGAGGCTGGCACGGTGCACGGAGGGGCGGTGTAACCAGTATCATGCTCCTTTGCCTCCGTCTCCCCTGCGCTGGTGTTTATACCCTGCACCGGTCGTTTAAAGCTGAGTCGAATTAGGCGAGGCCCCGGACCGGTTCAGATATCACTCATCACTGATGTTTACCATGGCTGGTTATCAAACTTGGGCCACTGGGTTTGTAACACAGTGCGTTACGTGCTGTGTCACTGCTCCCCATGATAGTCATAGTGACGTGCACGTACACATATGGATACAACCAACGATTCTCGTTTTGCCGTGATGTAGCGGTGGCGTCACCACAGCCCATTGTGCCAGGCTAGGTGCAACTTCAGGCCAATGTGTGCCGAGCCTCCAATGGGGTTTTCATTTCCTCGATCTTGCATTGCGGTTCCTCAATATCGCTCTAGTAGGCTACTGCCCGTGATTTACCAGTGATCAACTACCTCACATCTATTCCTCTAAGGAACGAAACAGGAGGATTTCTCCACAAATCTGGCTGTGCGCCTGATGATGCTCTTTGTAATTACTAGTACTCAGATTGCAAATGTTGTTTGCTGTACTAGTAACAAATTGGAATGTTCTGTTTATGTGAAAAACCTTACAAATTGGCAGTTAATTTTTTCTTCGTCACGGGTGCTGAGCACAGGCCCAAATGGCGAAAATGGCAAGCAACCAACAAAAATGAGCATTTCAATCTGAGTTTATACGTTTCTTGACTTCAGCACGCTTTTGAGAGCTTGGAAAGAGAAGACGATTGGAGGCATCTGAACGAAACAGGAAGAAAAATAAAACACGTCCAAACGCTGCCGCTTCTCAAAACCGTTGTCCTGTCTCCTCGTGTGACTCTCAACAGGACGACTCGGCTCTCACGCCGACCAATCGGAGTGCAACGCTGGGGGCGGACGACTCGGAGGCGACCCCCGACCCCGGGGCCACAGGTCGTCCGCAGGAGCCCGCGGTGGGCGGCACCGAGAGCCCCTGTGAGGTCACGCTGAGGTCGGGTGCCAAGAAGCAGCAGCAGCTCCAGATAAAGGAGGAGAGAGACTTCTAATGGCGATTGATCGTGCATCGTTGTGATGCGTGATGCACGATTCACAACGGTGTCCTCCGTGACAAAAACCTACAAAACACAATTGTGCATATTCAATGGCGGTCCCCCCCTCCCTTGACGGCCACCACTCAAATGCGGCTAACGGCCAGCCATCACCCCCCGTGTGTACAAGCGATGGGGCTAATGGACAACGTCAGGCGGCCTACGTCAAAGCACCCATCGGTGGCCGGCAACTCTTTAATAAAAAAAACATGTTCCGTTCTCGAAGAAGTTCCCAGTACTTGGTGCGAAACGTCAGACATCGTGGCGAGCAGCATGCGGGCGCGACTCGAATACGAATGCGAACGTTCTAGCGGTCAACCCATCGCAGGCCGACCCGAGATATTGACGCGGATCGCAGCGGTGGATTGAGCCGTTTTCAACAATGAATTGTCATCGCCATCATCAGTTGTGGTCAATCCACTGCTGGATGAAGGCCTTCCCGAGCCACTACCACCTCCTGCGATCCTGTAATGCACTATTCCACCCAGAATCTGATAAATTTGGGTACCAAATAAAAGTGTCTCTGCATGTTTAAGTCACTTCTTGATGAAGAGAACAGCGAATGCAATATGAGTTTTAAAGTTGTAAACATATGTAAGTAGGTTGATTATTTCAATTGGAGTCTTGATTAAACACTTTGTTTATAAATGTATCGCGAAGGTGGCTGGGCGGCAAAAGAGGGGTTCAATGGACATATCCCAGCACTGAGCTGGCACTAGAACCTGGGTTTGAATCAAGATTTCTGCCACCAGTGATTTAAACCAGCGTTTTCAAGTGTAAACAGTCCAGTGCTCTTAGCGCGGGCAATTTTGGCTGCACGGAATAAAACCCCATGTATATATTCGGTATGGCCCAGCCTGGCTTTTGAGGCCTCGTGTAGAACGTTGGGTTAACAATCACTCTTGTAACGTGACAATGAATTAAACTGCAACGTGTGTTTGTATTTGTATGTACGTTGAACTTCTTTTGCATCGTACGTAGCCAACCGTGCTCATTGGAGGTGTGGCATATGTGACGTGCAAAGTCGTCTCGCCGATTTTATGGCTCGTCATTGATCGCAGTAGCGTGTTATAATTTCAACTTTGAGCACGCCGCACAGCATTCGCCTCGCTCTCGTAGATGGAGAACGACTCGGCACGCAAGGAACCGCAGTCGAGTGGGAGGGGTAGCAGTCACGCGATGAACCGTGCGATATGTGGCGTGCTGCGTCTAATCGGATCGCTTGACCCGCACTCGGGAGCGTGGCGGTTCACGTCCCGGTAATTGGGTCAACCCAACCCATGAACCTTAAGTACGGTCAATCATTCCCCGTGCCTGACACAGCATGGGATGGCTTTCATCCAGCAGTGCACTGACAGGGTGGCTACACGTAATCATTTGGTAGAGTCCATGTGCTCCAGTGTTGATGCATAAACTGTTGACAAACTCATTCTTCATTGCTGTGAAGCATTATGGGTAAAGTTAAATATAAGTTGAACTCTGTTCTACACCTCCACATAAATAAACACGTTCGTCTATTGACTTCCATTAGCCTATTGGCTTCCAAACACGGTATTATCCAGCAGCATTTGCTTCGGCAAGCAAACCAAACGAGAGTCAGGTTTGTCATATGACTGCTGCTTGGTGGATCAGAATGCTGCTTGGTAGATCAGATGTATGTTGAACTTCATTCGCACCGATTTAAAGCTTTCGTGACTGCAATGATTCATCTTCTTTGGTTCTTTCGGTAAAGTCACGTAGAATGAGAATAAAATAATAAATTGATAAAATAAAATAACAATAATATTCTCACGACGTTTCGGCCACAACACAAGCGGCCCTCATCAGGTGAAGGGGCGAGACTGTCTGGTAGGACAGCGCTGGAGTGGAAGAGCCACGTGGCTCGCCCCTTCACCTGATGAAGGCCGCTTGTGTTGTGGCCGAAACGTCGTGAGAATATTATTGTGTTATTTTATTTTATCAATTTATTATTTTATTCTCATTCTACGTGACTTTACCGAAAGAACCAAAGAAGATTCATTCGCACCGTACGTGGCCATTCCTGAACACAAAACTTAACTTTTTTTTTACCAGAAAAGGCCCACTGAGCTATGTAGTGCTTTTCAGAAGCGACCTGGTCACATGATAGCCCAACGAAGTCGCTTTTCACGTGTAAATGTATTGCAGCCAACTACTTTAAACGCGTGATGTCGATTCTAAATGTGGAGGGAATAACCGTCGGACGAGGAGAACATGCAAACTCCAAATATACAGCAGGCGTCAAGGTCTGGATGTAACCCACGACCTCCTGCATCCCAGGCGAGGTAGTTAACATCTCGCCATCGCGGCGCCCGAAATGTTATTGGCAAGAGCAATCTAATGAACTATGGGTCCCCCCCCGCCCCCAGTTAAACTCGAAAACAATGTCTCGTGCGTCAAGCTTGAGCATTGTTCGGTATCGGCAGTGGCTGTCTCGTCGTAGAAAGCACGCGTGTTTTCAGTCCATCAGCCTCCTTGGTTTTGTGGATTTGGAAAGCCACTCCGGTGGTGGACTGAAGCAATTGAATTGTCAGGTGAGCTGAATGGAATTGAGTGCGTTTGCATTTCGAGCTGAGCGGAAGTTGAGAGCATCTTGCGGTCACTGTCATCATCATCGTCCAGCAGCAGGTGGCGGTAGAGCTTCATAGCCCCGTGACCTCACGTCCCGAGTCCGTGACTGGCACTGCACCGTGATCCCGCGTCCCGAGTCCGTGACTGGCACAGCCCCGTGACCCCGCGTCCCGAGTCCGTGACTGGCACAGTCCCGTGACCACGCGTCCCGAGTCCGTGACTGGCACAGCCCCGTGACCCCGCGTCCCGAGTCCGTGACTGGCACAGCCCCGTGACCCCGCGTCCCGAGCCCGTGACTGGCACAGCCCCGTGACCCCACGTCCCGAGTCCGTGACTGGCACAGCCCCGTGACCCCACGTCCCGAGTCCGTGACTGGCACAGCCCCGTGACCCCACGTCCCGAGTCCGTGACTGGCACAGCCCCGTGACCCCACGTCCCGAGTCCGTGACTGGCACAGCCCCGTGACCCCACGTCCCGAGTCCGTGACTGGCACAGCCCCGTGACCCCACGTCCCGAGTCCGTGACTGGCACAGCCCCGTGACCCCATGTCCCGAGTCCGTGACTGGCACAGCCCCGTGACCCCATGTCCCGAGTCCGTGACTGGCACAGCCCCGTGACCCCACGTCCCGAGTCCGTGACTGGCACAGCCCCGTGACCCCACGTCCCGAGTCCGTGACTGGCACTGCATCCCAAACAATTTATTAGTAGAGGCCACCCATCCACGGGGACCTCAATTTCCAATCGGATTTGGCGACATTCGATGTGCGCAGGACTTAATATCTCACATTATTTGGCGATGCTGCTGCTGCTGCGTTGGCAGCGGTGCACAAGCACAATGAACAAAGCAACACGAACCCTGAACACATTCGTCAACAAACACTGTGGCCTTAAGAGACAAAGGTAGTGTTGTTTTAAAGTATTCGCGGAATCGTTTTCAAGTTCGCTGGAAGACCAGAGGAGGTGACACGGTGAAGCATTGAAAGCCACGGCTAGAGCCAGATGCATGGTCAATGTGGTGTGCCGGGCGCGGAAAATATTTCCCCGGCCACAATCGAGGGGAGAGAAGTTAAAACCGAGCGTGACGGCAGAAGTCGTCAAACGTGCAAATCGGGGGGGAGGGGTGGGGGTTCCATCGCTTAGTGGCGCTGTAGTTGCCATCGAGTCGGCGCGCCAACGAATGAAGCCGCGCTTCTCTGTGTCCCCGCGTCGACGCAGGGGTCAAACGATGCCACCAGTCCGTGCAGCGTGGTCGCGTGGCTTTTTTCCCTCTCTCAAGGTTCTCTGAGTTTCCCCATCCACATTTAGAAACCAGCGTTTTGGAGTGTTTGTGCTGCTAGAAAATGTCCACACGATTGGGCCACTTTGTTGAACTATCATTTGTGGCCAGGTCGCTTCTGAAAAATAAGTTAATCCCTCAGTGGACTTTGCCTGCTCGGATGGTGATGGTTTAATTTGTGTTTGTGTTTGGGTGAGCTGTTTACCTTTATTGTACTTTGCACTACTGTCGTGTTTGTGTACTGTTTGTTGTGACGTTCTTAACCGCCCCTACTGGACATCTGTGAATGAAAGCTTTAGAGCTCATAGGATTCCTCCTACCATCCTACCCACGTTCAGCGTGACTGGAACCCAACTACCCATGGCGATCCTACCATCCTACCCACGCTCAGCGTGACTGGAACCCAACTACCCATGGCGATCCTACCATCCTAGCCACGCTCAGCGTGACTGGAACCCAACTACCCATGGCGATCCTACCATCCTACCCACGCTCAGCGTGACTGGAACCCAACTACCCATGGCGATCCTACCATCCTACCCACGCTCAGCGTGACTGGAACCCAACTACCCATGGCGATCCTACCATCCTAGCCACGCTCAGCGTGACTGGAACCCAACTACCCATGGCGATCCTACCATCCTACCCACGCTCAGCGTGACTGGAACCCAACTACCCATGGCGATCCTACCATCCTAGCCACGCTCAGCGTGACTGGAACCCAACTACCCATGGCGATCCTACCCACGTTCAGCGTGACTGGAACCCAACTACCCATGGCGATCCTACCATCCTACCCACGCTCAGCGTGACTGGAACCCAACTACCCATGGCGATCCTACCATCCTAGCCACGCTCAGCGTGACTGGTTCCACAGAGAAGCGCGGTGAATGCACGGCGCCATTGACTCCATCGAGATGCGACTCACGATCTGCTGCTGCTGCTTCTGTGTTGGCAGTGGTGCACACAACAAAAACGACTCAACGCCTCCGTCACTAAGACTGGCGAACAAAAGGCAAACGATAGGCGACGTTTCGGGCAATGTCCACACCACCCTCCTCCGCGTGCTGTTCGTGCCTTCACTCAGGTGTCGCTCGCTAGCGCCGCTAGCCCCCAACAGTTCGCGCAAGGCTGTCGTGGTGGTGGTGGGGGGGGAGCGGGGGGTCTTTGGTGTTTGCCGGCAGGAGGGTGGCGTGCCACAGAGTGCACTTACAGCAGCGGTAAGAGCCCACGTCAGTCATGCCGGCCACGGAGCATCGGCCCTAAATCGCTTCGTCTCCTGGCAGACGGACGTGAGAGGTCCCTTGCCACCGTCGGCTCCGAGTCTGTGACGACAGCGCTCTCGTTACCTCGACTCCGCTTTGTTTATACCCAGCAAGGCCCCACCGAGACTCTCAACAGTGTTTCAGGAGGGTCCTGTCGTGTTCATTTAAACGGGGGGGGGGAGATTTGTGTGTTTCCCAATTAAGTGCATTTTCAAATGTTGCATAATTTCGACCGTGACACCCGGCACACAAATGGCGTAACCCAGGGGTCGGCAGCCTGCGGTTCTGGATCAGCATGCGACTCTTTAAGGACTTCTTCGTGACGTTAATCACATGGCATTGCGGCTCTTGAAATATAAATATTGTTTTACCGCATTTGGGTTGCCGATCCCTGACCTGACCATTCTTCGAATGGCGTCACGGGGTCTATGACGTCTACGGTGAATGAAGCAGACGGCGAGAAGTGTTTCATGGTTAATATACTGTCATAGATAACAGACTGTTGGGGCAAGTGCTGTTTGCGAGCAGCACCTATGAAGGCCGGCATGGCACACGAGGGGGTGGGTGGCCAGCACCACGCCCGGCCGTCTTTGCCTCCCCAGTGGCGATCTTTACACATCGCACCGGGTTCTCATTAGAGGCTGAGTCGACCTAGGAGAGGCCCAGGACCGGGTCAGATAATCCTCATTGGTGTTGGCCGTGAGCGGGAAACGAACCCGGGTCGCCGGGTTCGTAGCACAGCGCGATAACCGCCACTAAATCCTATATATTGTACACGCACACAGAGACACACCTCCGCATTAACGAGGGCGGCCTGCCGAATTCGAACCGCGGCAAGCGGCTTCCGCCATGTTAGGCCGCGTCACCCGCCACAGGCAGAACGGGTTCCCCAACCTCGTGCAGGTCATGCAAAATAATAATATAGGCGTTACCCTTTCTGGCAATAAAACCGGTGTCAAGATGTTCAAACACCGAGAGACAGCCTTCTTCTAAACAAGGCTGTCTGTGGTGAAGGCAAATGTCTATTATCAGAGCATGTTTGTTTCCACGTTCACCAAAAGTACGCCTGGTTAATGTAGACTTTGATTCCTTGCAAAGAGGTATCTGATTTTTGTGTTTGAACATCTTAACACCTGTTTTATTTCCAGAAAGGGTCCAACCGATTCCTATTTTTCATACTTTGATTCTGGCACAAAGGTCCCATGAAATCGTGCAGAGCAGTTCATGGTCTCAGTTCCATTCCCTAAACCGAAACGTGGGTTATAACAGCCAATGCGTGCTCTGTTTAAAGGTGCCATTTGCACTGGGTGGGGGAGGGGCAACTCTTCGGAGACCGTGGAGTGCCCCGGGGGGCCCTTGCGTCCCGTGAGAGGAGGTGGCCCTGAAGCGGCGGTGTCGTCAGCGGCCCCCGTCCCCCGGTCTCACGCTGACGCTCCGAGTTCCTGACGGACAACTCCTTCCCGCTCGTGACGCCACCTCGATGAGCTCAACCCCCACCCCCCCCTACCCCAAGCAGTAGCTCCCCCCTGCCCTTCACTCGCCCTAGAGTTTGCCACCCGTCGTCCGGGTTCGATCCGGACAGGTGGCAACCCTCGGTGAGTTTGACCCAGGCAGTCTGGAACGTGGCATCTGTTTTTTGGGGGTCCGGGCGCGAGTGGCAGGGATTGGTGCGTGCTGAGGTCTGGCAAGGGTGTTGCCCGTGTTCAACTTTATCGCAGGTCAACTGCAAACTACTCATAAGAGGGACCTCGTGCTCACTGAGAAATCTACGGTGGAAAAGGTGGTGATCCTACACACATTCGCCATACCTAGTCAACCCCTTAATCAGCGCCCTACCTTATTACAGACCAATTCAGACCTTATTGGTCATCCTGTGCCCCTTATACATCTCACCGTTCATCCTACAAAGTCCCATCACAAGTGCGAAACACAAATAGACAATGTTTTTTTTTCCTGCATTGAAACGGCTGTACGCCGTATGGACCTGAAAACTCAATTTCCCTGTACAAGAATACGGGGTAAACCGTCTGGGTTGACAGATATGACTTTATCGCAGGTCAACTCCACACTACTCATAAGGGGGCGTCCATAAATGACGCCACGCGATTTTGGACGATTTTTTACCCTCCCCTCCCCATCGTCACACGGCGTCACAAAAAGTCAGACCCCCCTCAAATATGACGTAAGAAAGCTCTGCCCCCCCCCAAAAATATATATATAAAACATGCTTCAAATCGATTTAAACTATTGTCATTGTAGTGCGTATTAAATGTGCCGCTGCACTCTGATGTTGTAGGAGAAAATATTTATTAAAAAGTCTATTTAATTAAGTAGAACGTATTCTTGGTTCTTTTGGTAAAGTCACCGAGAAGGGAAATAATAAAATAATACTAAACAATATTTATTATTTCTCTTCTACGTGACTTTACCGAAAGAACCAAGAATATGAATCCCTGTCGTCACAAAAGCTTTAAATCGAAATTGAAGTAGAACGTGTTATCTCTCTTTATTTAATGTTGCGCATTTTGATGTGACGTCACATTTCTCACCCCCCCCCTCCTCGTCACAAAGCGTCACGAATGTCTGACCCCCCCCCCCCAGGTGCGTGACGTCATTAATGGACGGCCCCTAAGAGAGACCTCGTGCCGACTGAGAAAATCTGTCCCGAGTTTGGTCTCCAGTGAACGAGGTGGTGATCCGACAAACATCCCCCCCCCGTCACCCACAGACACACACACGCACGCAGCCCCCTGAGTGCAAGTGTGTGTCAACGTCCTCCACCACTTGCAGGTTGCGTTCGCCTCTACCGCAAGTCACCGGTTGCAACAAGTGCTGGCAAATTCGCACAACTCGTCTCGACTCGGGCGTGGACCCGGCTGAAGGTGAGGTTGGGGTGTTTTTGAAGAGTGGAAGATGTTTCGCTCGGAGTCGAGGCGAGTTGAGATGTGAATCTGACGGCGAGTTGACGAATCGCTTCCCCGCAAAGGTGGAAGCGGAAATCTGCGTCAAGTCGTGCGGGCCCGAGAGCCACGACGCTCACATCAAACTAATAAACATTTTTTGTTTGCTATTTAGGGCCCGCTGAGCTATGTTAAGCTGAGCCGTGTGAGCCAAGGTGGCTTTTAAGAAGCCACATTGGCTCATAAACATCGTGGCGGCCCAGGTGAAGGGGGCCGAGAGAGGGGGTGGGACGTGCTCCGCCCCATGAACTCCGTGCCAAAGGCACGGAGTTCACGGTCCATCGTGCGCTCAGGGCCTTTTGCAACTCGTGTTCTCCCAAGTCAGGAACCACAAGGGCTCAGGATTGGAACTCTGTGGACTGGAGCGGTAGCAGTTGTGGGAAATGGTTCCATTAACCTCTTGCACCTTGACATTCAAAATTCTGACTTCCCGACTCACACTGGGCAAATATAATTGCGGGGCGTTATTTTGTGTGTTGGTGGGGAGCGGTCGGTGCTGCAGTTGTTATCGTGCTGCGCTATGAACCCGGCGACCCGAGTTCGATTCCCGCTCATGGCCAACACCAGTGACGATTATCTGAACCGGTTCTGGACCTCCCCTAGATCGACTCGGCCTCAAATGAGTACCTGGTGCTGTGTGTAAACATCGCCACTGGGGAGACAAAGGCGTGGTGCTGGCCACCCCCCTCCCCCTTTCATAGGTGATCGTTAACAGCACTTGGTGTTTTTGTTTTTGCAGTCTAGCTTGGTCTCCGTATTTCGTCCGGGGTGAACGCCGGTAATACCGCAGCGAAGGTTTATGGCGCGGAATAGAAGGGGTGAGGGGGGGGGGGGGGCTGGGGGGCTCGCACACCTCACCACTTCCACCACAGAGTTTCCCAAGAAAGGCGGAAAGAAGACTCCCGCACACCCCCCCCCGGGTGCACGACACGACACAATGTACAAAAGGTCACGGCTCATAGGCCCCACGTTCCCCTCCCTCGTCGTCTGCTGCCGGACCTCGCTGTTACAGGCGTCAAGTTTGTCTCACCGCCCAGCGCCTGTGCCGGACCCCGCTGTTACAGGCGTCAGGTTTGTCTCACCGCCCAGCACTTCCCACCGCAGCAGTGAAAAGGTGCGAACGCCGCGGCACCGCGCTCCACTCAGACCAGGCTAACAAAAATAATCCAAAGAGTTTATTTTATTTTCTCCTGTGGAATAATAACCTTGAGGTATCTCCTCACCATCCCCCCATGACCCCCCCCCCCATCACCCCCACCCCTCTCTCTGTCTCATTGTCCACTTTTCAACACGATGAGATTCAGGTTTCGGGTTAAACAATATGTCCACATGAAGGAAACACAAGTGCAAAGCTATCCCGACCAATGTCCCCCTTCCACCCACCCCCTCCACACCCCCCAACCTCCTCCCCCCCCTTCCTCCCACCACTTTTTAGGTAAATCCCTTTCGCAGGGATGAAAATACTGTGAAGGTTTCCACATCCTGAGCGCAGCCCGCACCGGACGCCGGAGAAGACGCGGAGAGGGAAATAAAAACGGAAGGGAAACTGATCCTATGCAGTTTGTTTTACGTGTACTGTACAGCTGCTACCAAGTCCAATATATATTTGTTTATTTATATAAAGCACGCAGCGGCCCCTCATCTCGGGCAGAATTCTAGGCAGGCAGAATCGACCAATGGCGTCCTCGCCGGAACGGCAGCGCGAAGCCAACGGTCAGCACTCCCCCGCGGTGTCCCTCGGCCCCGCGGCGTCCTCTCTCCTCTTCGGCGTCGTTCTCGTCCGGGCGCTCGTTCCGCGGTGTCTTCTAGAGCCGTTCTCGTTCAGCCAGCCGGTTTTATCTCCAACATCGCGATTTCCCTTAAAATATATATACGAATCGATCGTTCCTGCGTGGCGAGCCCTCCTCGCTCTCGGGCCTCACTGCTTGCAGACGCCAGCCTGGCGGGCGGGCGGTTCAAACCTCCTCCTCCGCCGGCCGTTGGGTTCCCAAGCGTCCCTCCGGCCGCCACCCCGTCGCGATCCGCAAAACCCGCAGGCCACAACCCGCTCGGCGGTCAAGGCAGCGGGGCTGTGCGAGCCGTCGGGAAAGGGGGGGCGAGCGAGGAGCGAGTCTCTCTGTCGTTGTCGTTTGGTTTCTCAAAGCGGCGAGCGCGGCACTTTCAGGCGTTCTCCATCACCTGGTGCGGGAGGCTCATGGCAGAGCCGTTGATGAAGGAGCCCTGCTTCTCGCGGCCCTTGAGGATGTAGGTGATGAGCTCGCCCTTGCCCTTCACGAACACGGGGCCCCGGCGGACGAAGCGGAAGCCGTAGTCCTTGAGCACCAGGTACGTCTCCTCCACGACCTGCGCGAGGGAGAGCACGGGACAGCGCGGGTCAGTGTCGGGGACGCACGACCCCCGAGCTCTCCGTGAGTGGCCCAAAGTCGGTCGGGCCCATGCTGGGGCCTGACGACATCAGAATCGGAATGTTTATTTAGACTGGAGGAAGAATCCGATGAACTATAAAGCTCTTTTTCACAGATGTGCAGCAGGGGCAGGTTAGAATGTTACAACAACAAACGATCCAAAAACAAAGTACAAGAAAGGTAAACAAATCACCTTAAAAATATATATCAATGAAACTAAACTATATATGTTCATCTTACCAGGCAAGTAAATCTCACTGAGCTATTAACTTATTTTTCAGAAGCGACCTGGCCACAAATGATAGCCCAACGAAGTAGGTTATCGTGTGGATGTTTGTTTATTGCAGCCAAATACTCTAAACGCGTGATGCTGATTCTACATGTGGGGGGAAAAACTGGAGGACCCAGAGAAAAACATTTACGCGACCACAGGAAGATCACGCAAACTCCAAATATGTTCCGTGCCGGAACATATTTTGGATCGAACCCGCGATCTCATGCATACCAGGTGAGGAAGATAACATCACAATCACCGTGGCACCCTTTAAATAAAAGCCTGTACTGAGCTGAATGTGATCTCGCTGTCCACGCTCCCATTGCCACCGTGAGGTCCTGGGTGGGGCCCGGAAACCGGCCAGCGTCCTGGCCAGTTGCCTGCGCCGGCATTGCCAGCACTCGGCCAGGCCTCCCTCCGCCCTCTTATTCACAGCTCTCCGCGCCCGGGCTCCTGCGGCCCGGGATGCCGTGGTACGGCCCATGGCACGGCCCGCGGCACGGCCCGCGGCACCTGCGCTCACCTGAATGTTGCCGATCTGGCCGGTGGACTCCATGCGGCTCGCCACGTTCACCGTGTTCCCCCAGATGTCGTAGTGCGGCTTCCGGGCGCCGATCACCCCGGCGAGCACGGGGCCCTTGTTGAGGCCTGGACACAATTTGAGGGTAATGCCGTCGGTCGCGGCGACCGCTTAACCCTCGCGTGCGGGCGAGCGCCACGGCACGGAACAGAAGCGTCCATGCCGCACCGCCGCCCCCTCAGTCTCCCCACTGTCTTGCCACCTTGGCGCATTGCGGCTCTGGGCTCACGCTCCTCTTGAGCCGGTCGACAACTTCTTATAGTCACGCATTATCCCGGAGTCGAAAACTCTCAAGACCCACGTCGACTCGGCCATCAAGGTAAACGCTCAAAATTGGAGTCCTGTACAGAAACAAATGCTCTATTCCACCTCGACGTCCCACCTGCATGTAGTTAAAGACACCATCCCGCCCATTTCTGATTATTGTGACACAGTCTAGCACCTAGCTTCTGAATCTACCCTAACGCCGCTACTCAATTCCATAGTTCACTTGGAGGCTCATCTAAGATGCTCACCAGCAGGCCAATCTCGGAACCATCCCCTCGCTGTCCCATCAGCCTCCATGTGAATGTGTCAAATGTCAGCACTTATGTGTATGTGTGGTGAACTTTGCTCGCACCGTACGTAGTCAACCGTGCTAATCGGAGGTGGCTACAATTGTCTTTATTAGTGTCTATGAGTGTCTCTAATAGTCTTCATTTGAAGCTTTCGTGACTGCAGGAATCCATACTCTCTGGTTCTTTCGGTAAAGTCACGTAGGTAGAAAAAATAATAAAAGAAACACGACGTTTCGGTCGCAACACAAGCGTCCGTCATCAGGTGAGAAAATGATCTGCTGTTGTGCCTTTATATAGGCACGGGAGGGGGGGGGGAAGGGGGGGAGTTTTGTCGAGTCGTGGCTGCAGGAGATCATGGGGGGAGAGGGGGGAGGGTTTGTGGCGTGCAGGGACGGGTGGGGGCTCCACGTCACAAACCCTCCCCCCTCTCCCCGTGAACTCCTGCAGCCACGACTCGACAAAACTCCTCCCCCCCCTTCCCCCTCCTCCCGTGCCTATATAAAGTCACAACAGCAGATAATTTTCTCACCTGATGATGGACGCTTGTGTTGCGACTGAAACATCGTATTTCTTTTATTTTTCTAACTTCGTGACTTTACCGAAAGAACCAGAGAGTATGGATTCCAGCAGTCATGAAAGCTTCAAATCAAGACTGAACCACCTCTATGGGGAGGGCTTCCACGCAACTGTGAGATCTTTTAACAGACTGCGAGACAAGAAGGCACACCTGATCGAGTCGCTCACCTTTCTGTAGAGATGCCGCGACAACAAGGTAATACCGATCGCATTTACACTCACATCCGCTGCTGTCGCTTCCCCAAACGCTAAACGGATCTTGTTTAAGGCCAGCCTAGCCCTAATCTCAGAAAGAATGAGGCTGCTCTGATTTGGACTTGATAATTTAGACAAGACTCTCTTACAATCACATTTAGCATTAACAGACAATGTCCACATCTGATTGGGACCATGTAGATAACATGACTGTTTCTTCAGCTGCTTCAATGTCAACCAAAAGTAGCGTTAACCTGATTGCCAAATTCAACCTCCTGTCAAAAAAGAAACCCGAACCACACTTGGAAAAGTTAGATGTCAACAAGATTGCCATCAATCACAGTAACAGCCCAATTTCTGACAGCCTAAAATCGGTACTAGCTAAGGGGTTTAATTTCGCAGTCACCCCCAAACACATCCCAGTGGATGACATCATTGCCCAGTTCGACGTAGCCCTCAAAGGTCTGGGACACATCCCGGCAGACGTTGCAAGATCTGAAATCGCTGCTATCCTCAAGAATGCTAAGAAACCCATTAGCAAGGACGAACGTTTTGAACTTGCTCAATTAAAAAAGAGAGATGATATTGTCATCCTCTCAGCTGACAAGGGCAATGCCACTGTCATCATGGATAAAACCACATACAACAACAAAATCCAGGACCTTCTCAATGATGGCTGCTATACCAAAATTAACAGAGACCCTACCATAGCTTGGCTACTAAAACCAACAAAATCATCACTAATTCGACTTCCCTAATCGAACCCACCAAACAGCTCTCTCTAAAACCTTCAGTTACTAGACCACCCAAATTTTACGGCCTTCCAAAAATCCATAAAGAGGGTACTCCACTCCATCCTATTGTATCCACCATTAACTAACCCACTTGCAGACCGGCACAATTTTTGTCTGAGACTCTGCTTCCCTTCACGGACAAGACCGCCTCGGCTGTACTTAATTCGGCCCACTTGGTTTCACTAATCAAGGACATATCACTGTCCCCGGAGGATTTGCTTGTGAGTTTAGATGTAATCTCCCTCTTCACTAAGGTACCCATACATGATACTATTGCAATCATTGAAGACCTGGTCCAACAGGGATTGAATCCTGATGTACCTTCGTTGGTAAGGCACTGCATTACCAACACTTACTTCAACTGGAATGGTACTTTCTACAAACAGAATGAAGGTACCCCAATGGGCTCTCCCCTATCACCAGTGGTAGCGAATATTTTCATGGAGAAATTTGTGACAGATGCCATCCAGACATCCACCCGACGTCCTTCCTTGTGGAAGAGATACGTAGATGACACGTTCGTCATCTGGCCACATGGCCTGACGGAACTATACCAATTTCTCAACCACATCAATTCCATACACCCATCTATCAAATTCACCATGGAAGTGGAAAATGATGGCAAGCTACCATTCCTGGATGTTTTGATCGAGAAGAGACCTGATGGCTCGTTGGGACACTCTGTCTATAGGAAAGCCACCCACACGGATTCTTATCTAAAGCCTGACTCCCACCATCATCTAGCTCAGAAGAATTCCCTCATCAAAACACTACACCATAGGGCTCGTTGCATCTCCGACCAGCACCACCTAGCCAGTGAGCTTGAGCACGTACGCCAGGCTCTCAGAAGGAATGGATATTCTGACCGCACAATCCGCAAAGCTGCATCCACAACCATGGGTAGAGAACCATCTGAGGACCCAATCAAAACCATCACCTTGCCATACATAACAGGGGTTACCAAAATAATTTCCAAAATCTTAAACAAACACAAGATCCAAGTTTGGTTCAATACAGTACACAAAATCCGTCATTTGATCCCATCGGTGAAGGATGCGATTCGGGACATATGTAATGTCCTGGTGTCTATAAGCTGAGTTGTGTCTGCAGCAGCAGTTACATTGGTGAAACGAAGCGACATGTCTCAGACCGGGTTCGCGAACACAAAGCGGATTTGAAACACGGTAGAACCAACAGCTCGGCGGTGGCGGATCATTGTTTCAACGCTGTAAGCACACGTGACATTGTTTTTTCCGAGACCAAGGTGCTCTGCAAACCCTCGGGCTACCATCAGAGATTTGTTCATGAAGCTATCCAGATATACAAACACAGACAAAAATTTAATCGAGAAGATGGATTCAGATTGAGCAATCATTGGAAGGACGTGATAAACCCTGTCAAGTTTTTACTGCTGTGATTTTCACTCACCCACCCGTGCCGTTTTTGTTTTCGGTTACTAATTCAAGCTCATGGACATGCTAATTTCTCCAGCCCCACTCATCCCTGCACGCCACAAACCCTCTTCCCTCTCCCCCCATAAACTCCTGCAGCCACGACTCGACAAAACTCCTCCCCTCCCTTCCCACTCCTCCCGTGCCTATATAAAGTCACAGATAATTTTCTCACCTGATGGACGCTTGTGTTGCGACCGAAACGTGTTTCTTTTATTATTTTTTCTATCTATGACTTTACCGAAAGAACCAGAGAGTATGTCTCTAATAGTGTCTATGAGTGTCTCCGTTAGTGTCTATGAGTGTCTCCGATAGTGTCTATGAATGTCTCTGATAGTCTTAATGAGTGTCTTTGTTAGTGTATATGAGTGTCTCTGTTAGTGTTTATGAGTGTCTCTGTTAGTGTCTACGAGTGTCTCTGTTAGTGTCTATGAGTGTCTCCCTCCCTTGGCGTCTGTGCCGGGTTTACCGGTGTTCTCAGCGTCTGTGAGCCCGTACCTATCCTCAGCATGAAGTTGTTGAAGGACTGGTAGTTGATGTTCATCAGCGCCACCTTCATGGCCAGGACAAAGTCGGCGAGGTCGGAGAGGTGTTGCCAGCGATCCCGGTCCGAGAGCTCCGCGTCCTTCTAAGGGCACACCGCGCCGTCACCGCCCTGCCCACAAACTACCTGCCCGCTCGCCCACCTGTCCGCCGATCTACCCGCCCACTCGCTGCCCGCCCACTCGCCGCTCGCCTGCCAGCTCACTGCTCACCTACGTGCAGTAGGGGGTTTCCTGCCTTCAGAAACCATTGTGTATGGTTGGCTGCCATTCTTAAAGGTTCCCAGTTATCGGCCAGTAACACGTCGATTATAAATTTCAGTTGGTTAATCGACTAAATCAATCAAGCAACCAACCCACCGTGACCGCTCTAGAACGCAGGGCGAGGTGCCCCAAGAATTTCTTCACAAAAAACCCCGCAAATTATTTTCATGACCCCCGCATTTTTGTCCATGTATTTATTGATCAATTTCAAAATAAATGTGAAGAATTGGTGAAAGAACATCGCCAGATCCACCGACTTCCCTAACCCAACTCTGCGGCAGCCCCTGTGTAAGCACAGAGCTCAACCGAGGCCAGCCAAAGAGCTCTGCTGCTGCTGCTGCACCGCGTGGTGCAGCAGCAGCAGCAGCTACAGTAAGGGAAAAAAGTATTTGATCCCCTGCTGATTTTGTACGTTTTCCCACTGACAAAGAAATGATCAGTCTATAATTTTAATGGTAGGTTTATTTGAACAGTGAAAGACGGAATGACAACTAAAAAATCCAGAAAAACGCATGTCAAAAATGTTATAAATTGATTTGCATTTTAACGAGGGAAATAAGTATTTGACCCCCTCTCAATCAGAAAGATTTCTGGCTCCCAGATGTCTTTTATACAGGTAACGAGCTGAGATTAGGAACGCACTCTTAAAGGGAGTACTCCTAATCTCAGCTTGTTACCTGTATAAAAGACACCTGTCCACCGAAACAATCAATCAATCAGATTCCAAACTCTCCACCATGGCCAAGACCAAAGAGCTCTCCAAGGATGTCAGAGACAAGATTGTAGACCTACACAAGGCTGGAATGAGCTACAAGACCATTGCCAAGCAGCTTGGTGAGAAGGTCACAACAGTTGGTGCGATTATTCGCAAATGGAAGAAACACAAAAGAACTGTCAATCTCCCTCGGTCTGGGGCTCCATGCAAGATCTCACCTCGTGGAGTTGCAATGATCATGAGAACGGTGAGGAATCAGCCCAGAACTACAGGGGAGGATCTTGTCAATGATCTCAAGGCAGCTGGGACCATAGTCACCAAGAAAACAATTGGTAACACACTACGCCGTGAAGGACTGAAATCCTGCAGCGCCCGCAAGGTCCCCCTGCTCAAGAAAGCAAATATACATGCCCGTCTGAAGTTTGCCAGTGAACATCTGAATGATTCAGAGGACAACTGGGTGAAAGTGTTGTGGTCAGATGAGACCAAAGTGGAGCTCTTTGGCATCAACTCAACTCGCCGTGTTTGGAGAAGGAGGAATGCTGCCTATGACCCCAAGAACACCATCCCCACCGTCAAACATGGAGGTGGAAACATTATGCATGGTGGGTGTTTTTCTGCTAAGGGGACAGGACAATATCACCGCATCAAAGGGACGATGGACGGGGCCATGTACCGTCAAATCTTGGCTGAGAACCTTCCCTCAGCCAGGGCATTGAAAATGGGTCATGGATGGGTATTCCAGCATGACAATGACCCAAAACACATGGCCAAGGCAAAAAAGGAGTGGCTCAAGAAGAAGCACATTAAGGTCCTGGAGTGGCCTAGCCAGTCTCCAGACCTTAATCCCATAGAAAAGTTGTGGAGGGAGCTGAAGGTTCGAGTTGCCAAACGTCAGCCTCGAAACTTTAATGACTTGGAGAAGATCTGCAAAGAGGAGTGGGACAAAATCCCTCCTGAGATGTGTGCAAACCTGGTGGCCAACTACAAGAAACGTCTGACTTCTGATTGCCAACAAGGGTTTTGCCACCAAGTACTAAGTCATGTTTTGCAGAGGGGTCAAATACTTATTTCCCTCATTAAAATGCAAATCAATTAATAACATTTTTGACATGCATTTTTCTGGATTTTGTTGTTATTTTGTCTCTCACTGTTCAAATGATAGACTGATCATTTCTTTGTCAGTGGGCAAACGTACAAAATCAGCAGGGGATCAAATACTTTTTTTCCCCTCACTGTACTGGCAGCATGGCTCTGCAGCACCCCAAGTCCAATATCGAAGCTTCCAATTAAATAGCACGGATGGCTGAGCCGGAGCCTCCCACCTTGGCGCCTGTGTGGTAGCCGTTGCTGGCCGTGTCGTGGTTGAGCCCCGAGGCCGCCATGTAGGTGCTGCCGATCGTCTTGATCTTTGTGATGTTCTTGAACTTCGGCTCGTCCAGCAGCTGCGTGCCAGCATGATCAGCAAGCAAGTAGATCGTCAGCATCATCATCAGCATGCAAATCATCAGCATGCAGATCATCATCATCAGCATGCAGATCATCATCATCAGCATGCAGATCATCAGCATGAAAATCATCAGCATGCAGATCATCAGCATGCAGATCATCATCATCAGCATGCAAATCATTAGCATGCAGATCATCAGTATGCAGATCATCATCAGCATGCAGATCATCATCATCACCATGCAGATCATCATCATCAGCATGCAGATCATCATCAGCATGTAGATCATCACCATGCAGAAAATCATCATGCAGATCATCATCAGCATGCAGATCGTCAGCATGCAGATGATCAGCATGCAAATCATCATCACCATCACGGATCAGAATTCTCCAAGGATACTTTCTGTCGAGCAGCACAATACAACTAGCATGAGAGCTGACATGCGGCGTGATGCTGCACATCGCGTGACATCTTGCCACGTGCACACGTGACCGCGCGTATCCGTCGTCTGCAGCCGTCTCATCTCTCGCTTACTGCGGGACTCAGGACTTCACTCGGTGCACCGCACCTCTGGAGCCTGGGTGCCTCAGAACCGACAGAGGAAAGACCGCTTATCGCCACCCAACCCCCCCCTCCCGCGACCCGTTTTGTCGCGAGTTCGGGGGCCCGTCGAGCTGCTTGGGTCGGGGCCCTGAGCCTGAAACCACGCGGAGAGGGGGATCGCGGGCGGGTGGGCGGGCGAGCGAGCGGGCAGGAAAGACTCACGGCGTCGAAGTCGGAGATGATCTCATTGAGGAAGCGCAGGCACTCGATTCCGCCATTGTTGATGTTCTCCTCCGTGTAGAAGTCGGAGAAGTTGGGGATGGAAGCGAACATGACGCCCACCTCGTTGTACGAGTGGCTGTACAGCTCCTGCATGGGGGGGGAGGGGTGGGGGGGGGTGGAGGCGGCGGCGAGAGGAGCGTTCGTCGCGGTGCCTTTGACCGCAGTGCTCACCCAGCCCCAGGTTTGAATTGTTTTTTTTGAACCGCGTGAGAGTGCTCAAGAGAGCTGAATCAAGCCGCCTCGTTCGCGAGAGACAACTGGGGGCATTCGTTTGCAGGCGGGCGGAACGATGGCAATAACAAACGTATAACGTGCACAGCCACGGATGAGCAGCATGGCAGCAGCCACGCGGCCAGCCGATGCCAACACGAGTCCAAGCTCTCCAGTTCTCTATGTATTAAGGTGCTATCGGCGAATCAATGAGCATTTCCACGTGGGAGTAAACCTGAGCAACTGGAGAAAAGGCCCACTGAGCTACGTAGCTCTTTTTCAGAAGCGACCTGGCTATCACAAATGATAGCTCAACGAAGTGGTTCGTCATCACGTGGGCATTCATAGCAGTAGCCAAATACTGTACTCTGAACGCGTGATGTTGATTCTAAACGTGGAGGCAAAACCGGAAGACCCGGAGAAAAATGTACGTGAGACACGCAAACTCCAAATATACAGCAGGTGTAAGTCGGGACCTCCTGTATATTAGGTGAGGTAGTTAACATCTCGTCTGAGTCACATTGTCTGAGTCACCTCATCCAGAGTCACCTCGTCTGAGTCACCTCATCCACGAGCCACCTCGTCCAGAGTCACCTCGTCCAGAGTCACCTCTTCCATGAGTCACCTCTTCCATGATTTACCTCGTCCACGAGTCACCTATTGAGCGACGAGCAGGCTTGGTGGTGGGGCGCTCACCTCGTCGCGCTTCTTGGAGCCGAGGAAGTGGCGCGCCACGTGCTCGGGCAGGATGTTGGTGACGAGGGCCTCGTTGCGGCGCCGCATCTCACTCACGCGGTCCTTCTGCTCGTGCACGTCCATCTTCCACAGGAACAGCGTGCGGGCCAGCTTCTCCACCTGCTCGCACGTGCACGCACACACGTACACCGGTACACACGCAGACACGTACACACTCGTGCACACACACACACATGTACACACACATACACGTTTATACATGTATACGTGCAGACACGTACACACGCAGACACGTACAGACGTACACACACACATGTACACACACAAACACGTTTATACACGTACACGCGCAGATACGAACAACGCGCAGACACATACAGGCCTACACGCGCAGACACGTACACACGTACACGCGCACACACGTACACGCGCAGACACGTACACGCGCACATGTGTACACATGCGTACACGTGCAGAGACACAGACGACTTTAACACGTTGGCTTTCGCGACTGATATTATCGCTGATAACATTTACCGAAACAAGGAGGGGACTTCTTCTTCACAATTCTGCATAATCGCCCGATGAAGCCGGTTTTTGTAATCACCAGCGAAAAGTCACGGGACTCGAATTGTAAATGTTGTGGATGTTACTCTCCAACACACTTCAGTAGCAAATAATTGGCACGTTTTGTGTACGTGACAAACCCTTCCTGATTGGCTGTGTTGGGTGGTGGCGGGTTTAACGATGCATTTATATTTACGCGATATAACCCAAAAAACCTCGATTATGGATGCAGACAAGCATGCACCTGGCCACAAATGATAGCCCAACGAAGTGGCTTATCACGTGGAAATGTATAGCAGCCAAATACTCTCAACACGTGATGCTGATTCTAAATATGGAGGGAAAAAACGGAGGACGCGGATACAAATCCACGCGACCACGGGGAGAGAGAGACACGCAAACTCCAAATATACAGCAGCAGGCGTCAGGGTCAGGATCAAACCCACGACCTCCTGCATACCAGGCGAGGTAGTTAACATCTTTCCACCGCGATGCACACACACGCACGCTGGAACGGCTATGGAAGGATCAGCCGGCTCCCCCGCAACAGTGGCGGACACTACTCACGTGCCGGTTGAAGCAGTAGAGGCTGATCATGATCACCAGGATCATGGCCGTCATGGAGTACTGTGTGGGCACCACCGTGTCTCTGCACCCACGTGGCACGCGCAGATGGCACGAGGACAGCGTCGCGAGCTCTCAACACGCACATCACCGTCGTCATCATCACATCATCATCATCATCACCACCGTCATACACATCATCATCATCACCGTCATACACCGTCATACACACATCATCATCACCGTCATACACATCATCATCATCACTGTCATACACATCATCATCACCGTTATACACATCATCATCACCGTCGTCGTCATCACATCATCGTCGTCGTCATCACATCATCACCGTCATACACATCATCATCATCACTGTCATACACATCATCATCATCACCATCATACACATCATCATCACCGTCATACACATCATCATCATCACCGTCAGACACACATCATCATCACTGTCATACACATCATCATCATCACCGTCATACACACATCATCATCATCACCGTCATACACATCATCATCATCACTGTCATACACATCATCATCATCGTCATACACATCATCATCATCATTTCCGTCATACACATCATCGTCATACACATAATCATCATCACTGTCATACACATCATCATCATCACCGTCATACACATAATCATCACCACCGTCATACACATAATCATCATACACATCATCATCATCACCGTCATACACACATCATCATCACCGTCATACACATCATCATCATCACCGTCATACACATCATCATCATCATCACTGTCATACACATCATCATCATCACCACCATACACATCATCATCACCGTCATACACATCATCACTGTCATACACATCATCATCATCATCACCGTCATACACATCATCATCACCACCGTCATACACATCATAATCATCATACACATCATCATCATCACCGTCATACACACATCATCATCACCGTCATACACACATCATCATCACCGTCATACACATCATCATCATCACTGTCATACACATAATCATCATCACTGTCATACACATCATCATCATCACCGCCATACACATCATCATCATCACCGTCATACACATCATCACCGTCATACACATCATCATCATTGCTGTGTCTGTCGCCGCGTCTCTCACATGGTGTCGTGGTAGCGCGCCTCGTCGTAGGCTTTGTACAGCTGTTTCCACGCCACCGTGTTGATGAGACCCCACACGATCGAAACGCTCAGCATCAGCGTGATCTTCACCATGTGGCTGACCTGGAGACGCGAGGACACAAGGACGCGGGGACATGGAGACACGGGGACATGGACACACGGAGATATCAGGACCAGACAGGGCGATATGGGGATATGGGGACACAGGGAAACGGAGATACGGGAACAGACGGGGATATGGGGACATGGGGACATGGGGACACGGAAACATGGGAACAGACAGGGGGATATGGGGACATGGGGACACGGAGACAAGGAGACACGGGGACATGGGGACAGATATGGCGATATGGGGACACGTATACACGGGGTCACGGGGACAGACAGGATGATATGGGGACACGGAGACACAGAGAAATGGGGACATGGACACACGAGACATGGGGACAGACGGGGCGACATGGGGACAGATAGGACGATATGGGGACACGGGGACAGACGGAGACACGGAGACACAGAGACACGGGACACAGGCACAGACGGCGACATGGGGACACGGAGACACGAGCACATGAGGACACGGGGACAGACAGGGCGACATGGGGAAACGGGGACAGACAGGGCGACATGGGGACACGGGGACAGGGCGACGCACACATGCGGAGATGCAGGGACACGGGGAAACAAGGAGGTGGGGACGAGTGAGTGGGTGGGTGATCAGATGGGTGAGTGAATGATTGAGTGAGTGAAGTGAGTGGGTGAGTGAGTCAGTGGGTGGCTGAGTGGGTGGCTGAGTGGGTGGGTGAGTGGCTGCGTGGGTGGATGAGTGGGTGAGTGAGTGGGTGGCTGGATGAGTGGGTGAGTGAGTGGGTGGACGGGCAACTCTGTCGTGGACAGTGCTGTGGGGGGAGGGCCAATTCCGATTGGCCTCTCCCCTCATGGCATCTGTGACCACCACAGTGGCTAAACGGGGGTTCTGGATGGGTGCGAGGGGCTGGTAACCCCTCCCCCTTCAAAAAATTACCACGAAACCACGACTTAAATATATAACTAATAAGCTTGTGCCGGAGGCCCTGGGGGGACAGGCGTTTATGATGTGTCCTGGCCAAACCCCAATTGGCGGAGCCAGGAGATTGAATCTCTATCATCGGTGCTCCTCCAGAAACAACGAAAAGCCACTTCGTGTGGCCACGTTGAATGTTCGAACGCTCACTGAGGAAGAGAGGCTGCCACTCCTCTGTCAGGAGCTGGACCGGTACCGCCTGGATCTCTGTGGCATTCAGGAGGTCCGGTGGACCGGTTCTGGCTCCTGCCACCATGGGGGGTGGACAGTCCTCTACTCGGGGCAGCAGACTGCCAAACAACAGGGTGTGACTCTTCTTTTGAATAAAAGAATGAAGGGTGTGTGGGAACGTGGCAGTGAGGTGTGGGAAGCTGTAAGCCCCAGGCTACTTTGGGCTCGCCTTCCCATCAACCAGAGGTGAGGAGTGGTGGTCGTGGTTACTTATGCCCCCACCGAAGACGAACATCCGTGGAGGGATGCAGGCAAAGCCGATGAGCCAGATGCCTTCTATGACCTGTCACAGGTGCTGGCTAAAGTGGCCCCTCGGGATAGAGTCATCTTGTTGGGTGACTTCAATGCCCGAGTTGGTCATGATGCTGGCACCTGGTCTGGAGTGATTGGAGGGCATGGGCCAGATCAGCTCAATAACAACGGTAGGAGGCTGCTAGATTTTTGTGCAGCCCATGGGCTTGTAATTAAAAACACGCTGTTCCGGCATCGGCGCATCCACGCAACATCATGGATGCATGCCGGGTCCAAGCAAGAACATCTGCTGGACTACATAGTGACGGACCAGCGGATGCGAGCCCATGTCCTTGACACCAGGACCTACCGTGGAGCTGATCTGCCCTCTGACCATCGACTAGTCATCTGTAAGATGCGCCTGCCATTCTTCCACTCCGGTGGTGGGTGTACACCCAGGCCCCCATTCCAACCTAAAGTGGCCTGGTCTCAGCTGATGAAAGTTGCAAGCGAGAATTTCATCATCGCTTGAGGCTGGGGTTGCCATCGTTCCCCACTCCTCCTGATGTCGAGGGTAAATGGGCGAGGTTTAGTACTGTGACTCATGCAGCTGCAATGGCTGCTTTGGGTACACGGTCCAGACCTCCCCAGAGACCCTGGCTGATAGGAGGTGTTCAGGATAGTTGAGAAAAAGCGACAGGCCCACTGCCATCGGCTACAGAATCCCATGTCAGAGAATGAGGAGGCTTACTGCAGCCTTTGCTCGTAGGTTCGGAGAGCCGTGAGGTGCTGCAAGGATGGGTGGTGGTCGCGGGTTGCTGAGGAGATGGAGTCTGCCTCAGTGGCCGGTGATCACAAATCTCTATCTAACTCCATCACTAAAGTAACCTGCAGCGCCACACCTATTACCATCATGAGGGGAAAAAACGGTGTTCCAATCTCCGACCCCCAGGAACAGGTTTGCAGATTTGCTGAGCATTTCTGTGAGGTCCTGGGGGAGGGGAAATCCCTCAGCCAGGAAAACATCGTGGCACAAAGTGGGGATGATCCTGCTGAGGCTGCAGTGCCTCAAATATTGGAAGAAGTCACCCCCTGTGAGTGGCTGGCTGAGGTGCCATCTGTTGAGGAAGTACTGAAGGCGATCCGGAGTCTGAGACCAGGAAAGGCACCGGGCAGAGATGATCTCCCAAGTGAAATGCTGAGGGAGGGTGGCATTTGTGCACAGACTGCCCTATATGACATCATAACAACAATCTGGAGCACTGGACGGGTTCTGCAGGATTGCAAGGATGCCCTGGTGGTCCCCCTCTTTAAGAAGGGGGACCGCACAGACTGTAACAACTACAGGGGCATCTCACTCCTCAGTGTGCCGGAAAAGGTCCTGGCAAGGATTATTCAACATCGCCTTGCCAGGCACACTGAGGAGAGGCTTGCGGAGCCCCAATGCGGTTTCAGGAAAGGGCGGTCCTGCACAGATGCCATATTTTCTGTCTGTCCGTCTGCTACAGCAGAGGTGTAGGGAATTCCAACAAGACCTACATCTCTGCTTTATTGACCTGGTCAAGGCCTATGATACCATCAGTAGGCCTGGGCTCTGGGTTGTTCATCGTGCTTTTGGAGTCCCTGACCCTCTGCTCATGATCATTAAGGACCTTCATGATGGTGAGCGGGCCCGGGTAAAACTACGTGGCCGGGAGTCAGAGCCATTCCCTGTACACCTTGGGGTGCGACAGGGATATCCTCTGGCTCCCACATTATTTACCATCTATTTTGACCACGTAATTCATGATGCCTTCAATAGCTGTACCAGGGGAATCTCCATTTGGTACAGATATGATGGGAGGCTGATCGATGCCCGGGTCCGGTCAAGGGATAGCTCCCTATTGCTCAACCACGTTATGAATGCCATGATTTGGTAATAGCTGCTCATACAGAGGAGTAGTTAGAGACGCTGCTGCTGAGACTGGAGCGTGCCACTAAGAGATGGGGCCTTACCATCAGCTCCACCAAAACTAAGCACCTGCCTGGGTATTTTGTACCATCGGACACTCCACCCCCCAAACTCCCAATCGGTGATGGGGCAGTTGTGGAGAGAGTGGAGAGTCTCCCATATCTGGGCAGTGTGCTTATGACCGACTCCAGTTTAACAGCAGAGATCTCAGTCCAAATCAGTCGAGCGGCAATATCTTTTCATCGGGTGCGTAATGCTGTGTGGAAGCTACCTGGTCTGTCGCTCCACACTAAGCTTCAGGTCTTCTCGGCCACGGTCATTCCCTCCCTTCTCTACGCTTGCGAAACGTGGACCCCCTTAATGGAACATCTTCGCCGGTTAGAAACATTGAGGCTAGCCTGCCTACGATCCATCCTGGGTTTAACCAGGCTGGATTGTGTGAGCAGCTCATAAATCCTTGAAAGATCTGGGCAAGGTCCAATCGGTGAGCCCCTCCGGCAGACAAGACTGCACTGGCTGGGTCATGTAGCCCGCATGCCCAGCCACCGCATGCCGAAACAGCTTTTGTTCGGCCGGATCGAGGGGGCTAAACGGGCGCGGCACGGGCTAGAGAAGAGATGGAGTGATGTGGTACAGGAGGACGTGGAGCTGAGTGGACTTGCCGATGACTGGTACCAGCGGTGTCAAGATCGGCCTCTGTGGAGGAGGCTCGTGAAGGACGCTACTGGGCAGTTGGAGGCAGTCGCCCTCCAGCAACAACGGAGGGCAGAGGAGTGACGCAACAACGAGCGAAGCGTCGGGTGGCTAAAACATAGCAAATATGGCACAGTAAGGGGCATAGGTGGTGCATCAGCCAGTCATCTCAGTCAGTCGACCCGTGGCACCTGGGTCTGCTCTGTGACCTCCTGCCAGCGGGTGTTCGACACTTCACGTGGCCTCAAGGTGCACATGGCCTGGCACAAGCGTCGTGGTGACGTCACCGCCACTTAGTGCCGTATGGCGGTTGTCGTTATCTGAGTGGATGGGTGGGTGAGTGAGTGGGTGAGTGAGTGGGTGACTGAGTGAGTGAGTGGGTGAGTGAGTGGGTGAGTGAGTGGGTGAGTGAGTGGGTGAGTGGGTGGGTCGGTGGGTGGTTGAGTGGGTGGCTGGGTGGGTGGTTGAGTGGGTGGGTGGGTGAGTGAGCGTGGGTGGGTGAGTGAGTGGGTGGATGAGGGGGTGTGTGAGTGAGTGGGTGGGTGGTTGAGTGGGTGAGTGAGTGGGTGGGTGTTTGAGTAGGTATGTGAGAGGGTGGGTGGGTGAGTGGGTGGGTGAGTGGGTGGATGAGTGGGTGGGTGAGTGGGTGGGTGAGTGGTTAAGTGGCTGGGTGAGTGGGCGGATGAGTGGGTGGGTGAGTGGGTGATTGGTTGAGTGGTTAAGCGGGTGGGTGAGTGGGTGATGTGAGTGAGTGAGCGGCGACGGTTCGTGGCGGTACCTGCACGAGCATGCTGGTGGCCATGAGTGCAAGCACTGCGATGAACGAGTAGTACTTGGGGTAGCGCAGGCAGCCCAGCATCTGGGGCAGCAGTGCCTGACCCCCATAGCAGCTCAGCTGTGGACACAGAAACACACACTGAGACTTGGAGACACTCAGACACAGGGATACTCGGACACTCGGACACGGGGACATCAGCGTCAGGGGGACACGGGGACACTCAGACATGGGGACACCAGCGTTAGGGGTAGATGGGGACACTCAGACACGGGGACACTCAGACATGGGGATACCAGCGTTAGGGGGACACGGGAACACTGAGACACAGGTCACTCGGATACCAAGACACGGGTCACTCGGACACCGAGACACGGGTAACTCGGACACCGAGACACGGGGACACCGAGACATGGGGACACCAAGACACGGAGACACGTGGACATCAAAACATGGATACACGGGGACACCGAGACACGGGTCACTCGGACACCAAGACACGGGGACACTGAGACACGGGGAGACTCGGACACTGAGACACGGGGAGACTCGGAAACAGGGACACGGTGAGACCAGTGTCGGGGGGACATGGGGACACTGAGACACAGGGAGACTGGTACATGGGGACCCAGTGAATGTTGATGATGTTGATGGTACTATTGAAGGGGATAGTGATGTTGATGGTGAAGACGGTGTTTGATGATAATAATGATATTAATAGGGATATTAATGGTGGTGATGTAGTGATGGTGGTGATGTGGATGTCGTGATGGTGGTAATATGGATGGTGGTGATGTTGGTGATGGTGGTGATGCAGCGATGATGGTGATGTTGGCTATAGTGATGATGTTGTCAATGGCGGTGGTGATGTTGTTTATGGTGGTGATGTTGGTATTGGCGAAGTAGTGATGGTGGTGATAAAGTGATGGTGGTGATGCAGTGATGGTGGTGATGATGTTGGTGATGTAGTGATGGTGGTGATGGTGATGTTGTTGATGGTGATCTTGATGGTGGTGATTTTGGTGATGTTGGTGGTGGTAATGGTGGTGATGCTGGCGATGGTGATGATGGCTGTGATGGCGGTGATGGGCGATTTAGTGGAGATGGTGATATTAGTGATATTCGTGATGGCGGTGATTGTAATGTATTGATGGTGGTGATAGTGGTGATGGCGATGTAGTGATGTTGGCGATGGCGGTGATGCAGTGATGTTGACGATGGCAATAGTGGTGATGTTAGCAATAGCGAGGATGGTGATGTAGTGATGTTGGCGATGGTGATGTTGGCGTTGGCGGTGATGTTGGCGATGGCGGCGATGGTGATGTTGGCGATGGCGGTAATGGTGATGCTGCTCACGATGTCGATGACGTCGGCCACCACAAGAACCACGATGGCTGCCATGGCCCAGCTGTTGCGTGCCCAGCGCGTGCGGTCGAGCCACGCCGAGAAGCGAACCAGCCTGGCAGGGTACGCCTACAGCACCATCATCACCATCATCATCAATAACATCAACAACACCATCATAATCAATAACATCAACAACATCACCATCATCATCAACAACATCAACAACATCACCAGCCTGGCAGGGTACGCCTACAGCACCATCATCACCATCAATAACATCAACATCACCATCGTCATCAGCAACATCAACAACAGCACCATCATCACCATCATCATCAATAACATCAACAACATCACCAGCCTGGCAGGGTACGCCTACAGCACCATCATCACCATCAATAACATCAACATCACCATCGTCATCAGCAACATCAACAACAGCACCATCATCACCATCATCATCAATAACATCAACAACATCACCAGCCTGGCAGGGTACGCCTACAGCACCATCATCATCATCATCAATAACATCAACATCACCATCATCATCAACATCATCAACAACATCAACAACAACACGAGCCTGGCAGGGTACGCCTACAGCACCATCATTACCATCATCATCAATAACATCAACAACATCACCATCATCATCATCAACATCAACAACATCATCAGCAACATCATCATCATCACCATCATTATCATCAACATCAACAACATCATCATCATCAACATCATCATGACCATCGTTATCATCATCAACAACATCAACATCATCACCATCATCACAATCAACAACATCAACAACATCACCAGCCTGGCAGGGTACGCCTCCAACATCATCAACATCAACATCACCAGCCTGGTGGGGTATGCCTACAGCACCACCATCAACAACAACATGAACAACATGAACAGCACCACCACCATCATTACCATCACCACCATCAACACCATCATCACCACCATCACCACCATGATCACCACTAACACCATCAACATCACCACCAACAACAACCGACATTCACCATGAAGTGGCAGTGATGTCCCCACGGTGCTTGTGCCAGGCTATGTGCACGTTGAGGCCACGTGAAGTGTCGAGATGAGTGCCCGATGCATCCCCTGTGCCCAACTTGCTGTGAGCTACCCGGCGCTCCACTCGTTGTTGTGAGTGTCGCTCCTCTGCCCTCCGTTGTTGTTGGAGGGCGGCTGCCTCCAACTGCCCAGTCGCATCCTTCACGAGCCTCCTCCAAAGAGGTCAATCTTGACACTGCTGGTACCAGTCATCGGCAAGTCCACTTAGCTCCACATCCTCCTGTATCACATCACTCCATCTCTTCTCTAGCCCGTGCCGTGCCCCTTTAGCCCCCTTTAACCGGCCGAACAAAAGCTGTTTAGGCATGCGGTGGCTGGGCATGCGGTGGCTGGGCATGCGGTGGCTGGGCATGCGGTGGCTGGGCATGCGATGGCTGGGCATGACCCAGCCAACATAGCCTTGCCAGCCGGAGGAACTCACCGATGGGACTTTGTCCAGATGTTTCAAGGATTTGTGAGCTCCTCACACAATCCAGCCTGGTTAAACCCAGGATGGATCGTAGGCAGGCTAGCCTAAATGTTTCTAACCGGCAAAGATGTTCCATTAGAGGAGTCCACGTTTCGCAAGCGTAGAGAAGGGAGGGCACGAGAAGACCTGAAGCTTCGTGCGGAGTGACATACCAGGTAGCTTCCACACAGCGTTACGCAACTGATGAAAAGATATTTGCGCTCGAGGGATTCGGAGTGAGACCTCTGCTGTAAAACTGGAGCCGGTCATGAGCACATTGCCAAGGTATGGGAAACTCTCCACTCTTTCCACAACTGCCCCATCACCAATTGGGAGTTTGGGGGGTGGAGTGTGTGATGGTACAAAATACCCAGGTAGGTGCTTAGTTTTGGTGGGGCTGATGGAAAGGCCCCACCTCTTAGTGGCATGCTCCAGGTTCAGTAGCAGCACCTCCAACTCCTCCTCTGAGTGAGCAGCAATTACCAGGTCGTCAGCATACATAACATGCTTGACCAATAGGGAGCCATACCTTGACCGCACCCAGGCATCGATCAGCCTCCCATTGTATCTGTACCAGATGGAAATTACTTTGGTACAGCCATCGAAGGCTTCACGAATTACGTGGTGGTAATGTTAAATAATGTGGGAGTCAGAGGACATCCCTGTCGCACCCCAAGGTGTACAGGCAATGGCTCTGACTCCCGGCCACGTAGTTTTACCCGGGCCATCAGGAAGGTCCTTAATGATCATGAGCAGAGAGTCAGGGACTCCGAAAGAACGAAGACCCAGAGGTCAGGCCTACTGATGGTATCATAGGCCTTGACCAGTTCAATAAAGCAGAGATGTAGATCTTGTTTGAATTCCCTACATCTCTGCTGTAGCGGATAGACAGAAAATATGGCATCTGTGTAGGACCGCCCTTTCCTGAAACCACATTGGGGCTCTGCAAGCCTCTCCTCAGCGTGCCTGGCAAGGGATATGCCCCTGTAGTTGTTACAGTCTGTGCAATCCCCCTTCTTAAAGAGGGGGACCACCAGGGCATCCTTCCAATCCTTTAGAACCCGTACAGTGGTCCAGATTGTTAGTATGATGTCATGTAGGGCAGTCTGTGCACAAACGCCACCCTCCCTCAGCATTTCGCTTGGGAGATCAGCTCTGCCCAGTACCACCACCATCAACATCAACACCATCAATATCACCATCACCACCTCCACTCGCACACCCCAAGCCTTCAGTGAACACCTCCATATTTGTGAACTTTTTACCGCAGAGGGCAATATAGATATTCACAAGCGATGTTCACTGTTGAGGAAAATCATGAACGATTAATCGTCAAGTGGCAAAAAGTCTCATGGTTAGGATGCGCAAGGCCGTTGCCGCTGCTGCTGCCTTCTGCTCCGGGTCGACGGCCCAAGCCTGCCCTAGGCCCCGACCCGGAACGAGGCCCTCGCCGCACCCACAGGCGCAGCCCCTCCAGTGACGAGGTAGCAAGACGAGTACCATACCAACAACTTCCCTGTTCATCACCTGCCTGTTACTCACCTGCCCACCCACCACTCACCTACCCACCCGCCACTCCCTGCGAGAGGCGTTGGCGGTGCTGCCGGATGCCACAGGGAGATGTTTACCCGAGGAAAGATGGCAGCGAGGCAGCAGACGGTGAGGACGATGAGCATCACGACTCCAGCCACAAAGGTGATGAAGTTAGCGGGCAACCTGTACCACACACACACACACGTGCACACGCACGCACAGACGCACGCACGCACAGACACGCACAGACATACGCACACACACGCACGGATGCATACGCACGGACGCATACACACGCATAAGCATACACGCATAGATATACACACGCATGTACACAACAACAACCGCCATTCGCCACTAAGTGGCGGTGACGTCACCACGACGCTTGTGCCAGGCTATGTGCACCGTGAGGCCACGTGAAGTGTCGAACGCCCGCTGGCAGGAGGTCACTGGGCAGACCCAGGTGCCACGGGTCGACTGACTGAGATGACTGGCTGATGCACCACCTGTGCCCCCTACTGTGCCAACCTGCTGTGCTTTAGCCACCCGGCGCTCCGCTCGTTGTTGTGAGCGTCGCTCCTCCGCCCTCCGTTGTTGTTGGAGGGCGACTGCCTCCAACTGCCCAGCAGCATCCTTCACGAGCCTCCTCCACAGAGGCCGATCTTGACACCGCTGGTACCAGTCATCGGCAAGTCCACTCAGCTCCACGTCCTCCTGTACCACATCACTCCATCTCTTCTCTAGCCCGTGCCGCGCCCGCTTAGCCCCCTCAATCCAGCCAAACAAAAGCTGTTTCGGCATGCGGTGGCTGGGCATGCGGGCTACATGACCCAGCCATCGCAGCCTTGCCTGCCGGAGGAGCTCACCGATGGGACCCTGCCCAGATCTTTCAAGGATTTGTGAGCTCCTCACACAATCCAGTCTGGTTAAACCCAGGATGGATCGTAGGCAGGCCAGCCTAAATGTTTCTAACCGGCGAAGATGTTCCATTAAGGGGGTCCACGTTTCACAAGCGTAGAGAAGGGAGGGAATGACCGTGGCCGAGAAGACCTGAAGCTTAGTGCGGAGCGACAGACCAGGTAGCTTCCACACAGCGTTACGCAACCGATGAAAAGATATTGCCGCTCGACTGATTCGGAGTGAGACCTCTGCTGTTAAACTGGAGCCAGTCATAAGCACACTGCCCAGGTATGGGAAACTCTCCACTCTCTCCACAACTGCCCCATCACCGATTGGGAGTTGTGGGGGTGGAGTGTCCGATGTACAAAATACCCAGGCAGGTGCTTAGTTTTGGTGGGGCTGATGGTAAGGCCCCACCTCTTAGTGGCACGCTCCAGTCTCAGCAGCGGTCAAGGGATGGCTCCCTATTGCTCAACCACGTTATGTATGCTGATGATTTGGTAATAGCTGCTCAGTCAGAGGAGGAGTTGGAGACGCTGCTGCATGTACACATACACAAGCACACACACATGTATATGGCAGTGTAGCGGTCAGCGCGCTGCGCTATAAACCCAACGACCCGAGTTCGATTCCTGCTCACGGCCAACACCAGTGATGACTATCTGAACCGGTCATGGGCCTCTCCTAGGTCGACTCAGCTTCAAACGAGTACATGGCGTGGTGTTTATACATAGGTATTGGGGAAACAAAGGCGAACAGATGTGGTGCTAGTCACATGACCCGAGCGAGCGTGTGTGTGTGTGTCTCTGCATGTTCCATGCAAGGGGTTGACTCTGCTGGGGCTTCTGCGCCACAAATATTAGAGGAAGTAGCCACCATCTGTGAGCGATATCAGTTGGGGCACCATTGTGGCGAGATGTTAACTACCTTGCCGGGTATACAGGAGGTCGCTGCCTACCCTTAAGCCTGCTGTATATTTGGAGTTTGTGTGTAGATTTTTCTCCCGGTTGTCCGGTTTTTCACTCCACATTTAGAATCAACATCACGCGTTTAGAGTATTTGGCTACTGCTATAAATTTCCACGTGATAAGCCACTTCGTTGAGCTATTTTTTATTTCACCTGGTAAAATAAAAAATAGTCGCAGTAAAGAGTGGACTTGCTGATGACTGGCACCAGCGGTGTTAAGATCAGCCTCTGTGGAGGAAGCTCATGAAGGACGCTGCTGCCACTGGGCAGTTGGAGGCAGTCACCCTCCAACAACAGAGGGCAGAGAAGCGATGCTCACATAAACGAGTGGAGTGTCGGGCGAGTAAAACACAGCAAGCTGGCACAGCAGGGAGCACAGGTGGTTCTCTGCCAGCCATCTCAGTCAGTCAACCCATGGCAGCTGGGTCTGTCCTGTGACTTTCTGCCAGTGAGCCTTCCACACTTCACATGGCCTCAAAGTGCACCTAGCCTGGAACAAGCGCCGTGGTGATGTCACCGCCACTTAGTGTCAAATGGCGCGGGCCGTTGTTGATGTAAGTGCAGATGCGGGCACGTGTGTGTGTGCGTAAAGCCTGACCGTGTGTGTGTGTCATATGAGAGTGAATGTGTATTCGCACGTGACAGTGCGTGTTTGTAGTGCGTGAGTTGATGCGTGTGTGATACGTGTATGCGATGCGTGTATGTGACGCGTGTGTGTGACACCTGTGTGACGCGTGTGTTGTGTAACGCGTGTGTTCTGTGATGTGTGTGACGCGTGTTGTGTGACACGTGTTGTGTGACACGTGTTTTGTGTCACGTGTGTTTCATTACGCGTGCGTTGCGTGACGCGTGCGTTGTGTGACCCGTGTGTGTGATCCGTGTGAGTGATGCATGTGTGTGCGCGTGTTTTCTGTGAGCGGCAAAACAACCCCCTTCCTCCTCGTTGGTGCCGGACGGCAAGGCTGTGGTGAGCAGTGCCATGGGAGGAGAGTCAATTTCGATTGGCCATTCCCCTCATGGCGTTTGTAGCCACCACAGCGGCCAAAGGGGGCTCTGGATGGGTGATAGAGGCTGGTGAACCCTCCACCTTCAATTAATTACCACAAAACCACGAAAAAGAATATCCAGCTAAGCTTGTGCTGGAGGCCCCAGGGGGACAGGTGTCTTTGTCATCTCCTGGCCAAACCCCATTTGGCGGAGCCAGGAGAATCCTTACCCTCGGGGTTCCTCCAGAAACAGCAAAAAAACACTATGGGTGGCCATATGGAATGTTTGAATGCTCACTGCAGAGGAGAGGCTGCCACTCCTCTGTCGGGAGCTGGACCGGTACCGCCTGGATCTCTGCGGTATTTAGAAGGTCCCGATGGACCGACTCTGGCTCCTGCCACCATGAGGAGTGGACAGTCCTCTACTCGGGGCAGGAGACTGCCAAACAACAGGGAGTGGTTCTTCTTCTGTACAAAATAATGAAGGTGGCGTGGGAGCGTGGCAGTGAGGCGTGGGAAGCTGTAAGCCCCAGGCTACTTTGTGCTTGATTTCCCATTAACCAGAGGCGAGGAGTGGTGCTCGTGGTAACTTATGCCCCCACCGAAGATGAACATCAGTGGAGAGATACAGGCAAGGCCAATGAGTCAGATTCCTTCGATGACCTCCTGTTACAGGTGATAGCTGAAGTAGCCCTCGGGATAGAGTCATCATGTTGGGTGACTTTAATGCCCGAGTTCATCATCATGCTGGCACCTGATCTGGAGTGATTGGAAGGCATGGGCCAGATCAGCTCAATAACAACGGTAGGACTTTTGTGTAGCCCAAGGGTTTGCAGTTACCAACACGCTGTTCAGGCATCAGCGTGCATCCACACAACATCATGGATGAACGCCGGTTCCAAGCAAGAACATCTGCTGGACTATGTAGTTACAAAACAGCCGATGCTGGCCCATTTCCTTGACACCAGGAACTACTGTGGAGCTGATCTGCCCACTGACCATCGGCTTGCCATGCGCCTGCCATTCTTTCACTCCGGTGGTGGGTATACACCCAGGAACTCATCCATACCCACAGTGGCCTGGTTTCAGCTAGCTGATGAAAGTTGCAAACGATAGTTTCATCATCGCTTGTAGCTGGGGTTGGCATCATCCCCCACACCTCCTGATGCTGAGGAGAAATGGGCAAGGATTAGGACTGTGGCTCATGCAGCTGCAATGGCTGCTTTGGGTACAAGGCTAAAACTTCTCCAGCGACCTTGGCTGACAGAGGAGGTGTTCAGGCTGGCCGAGAAAAAGCGACAGGCCCACTCTTACCGTCTACAGCAATTTGCATCAGAGAATGAAGAGGCTTACCGCAGCCTTCACTCAGAGATTCAGACAGCCGTGAGACACTGCAAGGATGGGTGATGGTTGTGGGTTGCTGAGGAGATGGAGCCTGCCTTAGTGGTTCACAATCACAAATCACTCTTTAACTCTATCACAAAGGAAGATTTAATGAGCATTTCTGTGAGGTCTTAGAGGTGGGGAAATCCCTCAGCCTGGAAAACATCATGGGGCAAAGTGGGGATGACCCTGCTGAGGCTGGGGTGCCTCAAATATTGGAAGAAGTCACTCCCTGTGAGTGGCTGGCTGAGGTGCCATCTGTTGAGGAAGTACTGAAGGCGATCCAGAGCCTGAGACCAGGTAAGGCACCGAGCAGAGATGATCTCCCAAGCGAAATACTGAGGGAGGGTGGCGTTTGTGCACAGACTGCCCTACATGACATCATAACAAGTCTGGACCACTGGACGGGTTCCACAGGATTGGAAGGATGCCCTGGTGGTCCCCCTCTTTAAGAAGGGGGACCGCACAGACTGTAACAACTACAGGGGCATCTCCTCAGTGTGCCGGAAAAGGTCCTGGCAAGGATTATTCAACATCGCCTTGCCAGGCACACTGAGGAGAGGCTTGCGGAGCCCCAATGCGGTTTCAGGAAAGGGTGGTTCTGCACAGATGCCATATTTTCTGTCTGTGTGTCTGTCTATCTGCTACAGCAGAGGTGTAGGGAATTCCAACAAGACCTACATCTCTGCTTTATTGACCTGGTCAAGTCCTATGATACATCAGTAGGCCTGGGCTCTGGGTTGTTCTTCGTGCTTTTGGAGTCCCTGACTCTCTGCTCACAATCATTAAGGACCTTCATGATGGTGAGTGGGCCCGGGTAAAACTATGGGGCCGAGAGTCGGAGCCATTTCCTGTTCACTTTGGGGTGTGACAGGGATGTCCTCTGGCTACCACATTATTTAACATATATTTCGACCACGTAGTTAGTGAAGCCTTCGATTCCATTTGGTAAAGATACAATGGGAGGCTGATCGATGCCCGGATGCGGTCAAGGGATGGCTCCCTATTGCTCAAGGAGGAGTTGGAGGCGCTGCTGCTGAACTTGGAGGATGCCACTAAGAGCCTTACCATCAGCCCCACCAAAACTAAGCACCTGGCTGGGTATTTTGTACCATCATACACTCCACCCCCAAAACTCCCAATTTGTGATGGGGCAGTTGTGGAGAGAGTGTAGAGTTTTCCATACCTGGACAGTGTGCTAATGACCAGCTCCGGTTTGACAGCAGAGGTCTCACTACAAATCAGTTGAACGGCATTATCTTTTAATTGGCTACATAACACTGCGTGGAAGCTGCCTGGTCTGTTGCTCCATACGAAGCTTCGGGTCTTCTTGGCCACGGTCATGCCCTCCCTTCTCTACGCTTGAGAAATCCTTGAAAGATCTGAACAAAGTCCCATCAGTATGCTCCTCTGCCAGGCAAGGCTGCGTTGGGTGGGTAATGTAGCCCGCATGCTCAGGCACCACATGTCTAAACAGCTTTTGTTCGGCCATATAGAGGGGGCTAAATGGGCGCGGCATGGGCTAGAGAAGAGATGGAGTGATGTGGTTCAAGAGGATGTGGAGCTGAGTGGGCTTGCCAATGGCTGGTACCAGCGGTGTCAAGATCGGCCTCTGTGGAGGAGGCTCATGAAGGACACTACTAGGCAGTCGGAGGCAGTCGCCCTCCAACAACAACGGAGGGCAGAGGAGCGACGCTCACAACAAGTGCAGTGCCGGGCGGCTAAAACACAGAAAGTTGGCAGTCAGGTGCACAGGTGGTGCATCAGTCAGTCATCTCAGTTAGTCGACCCATGCCACCTGGGTCTGCCCCGTGATCTCCTGCCAGCGGGCATTCGACACTTCACGTGGCCTTAACTTGCACATAGCCTGGCACAAGCGCTGTGGTGATGTCACCGCCACTTAGTGGCGAATGGCAGTTGTTGTTGTGTGTGACATGCGTGTGTGTGATGCGTGTGTTGTGTGAGCGTGTGTGTGTGTGATGCGTGTGTTGTGTGAGCATAAGTGTATTTGTGTTATACGAGAGAGTATGTGTTTGACGAGTGTATGAGCGCATGAGCGTACGTGTGATGCGTGCGTGTGATGCGTGCGTGTGATGCATGCGTGCGTGTGATGCATGCGTGCGTGTGATGCGTGTGTGCGTGCGATGTGTGGGGAGATCCCATAGAAGAGCGGGATCTGGGGGATCAAAGGGACGCGTGGCGCTCACAGCCGCAGCAACAGGGGCACATCAAAGTGGCTGGAGACAAACAAAAAAACAAACCTAGAACAAAAACAAATGGCAGCAACACGGCACTGGGATGCGGTGGGGGGCCGGGGATGGGGTGGGTCGGGGGACGCTGTGGGGGGGGGGGGAGACGCTATGGGGGGTGGGGGACGCGGTGGGAGGCGATTTCACCTGGGGTTTGTCTGTAAAATTGAAAATATCTTAACTCCACATCCAGTATACTACGAGTCACGGGCACTCCGGTCTCCAAGCGAATCGGCGAACGGCCGTCGAGCAATTAACCCTTGGTTAGCATCTCATCGTCCTTCCATCATCATTTGCGTCTGAGCGTCGCCAGCAGCGTCATCAGTAATGTCACCAGCAGCTCCATCAACAGCTTTATCAGCAGCTTCATCAGCAGCGTCACCATCAGCGTGATCATCATCATCTGCGTCATCATCGTCGTCATCGTGGTACCCGCGTGGTGCGTGGTGTGGGCAGCGCGCACCGTGGGTCAAGGCAGAGCTCGACGATGAAGGAGAAGAGCAGCACGACGCACGAGCAGCTGATGGCGGCGCCGCTTTGCTTCTCCTTCTCGACGGAGAAGCGCGTCTCGAGCGCGGGGTCCACGAAGCGCATTGACACGCGGTTTGTGTACTTGCCCTTCAGCCTGGACAGCCACGCGCAGAAAACAGAAGGCGCCCGCGGCGAGGCCTTAACGGACCGTCTGGGGGGGCGAGCGTAGCCGGCGAGCGCGGCGCCTCCGACGGCCGGCGTGGCCCACGAGGGGGTGGGCGATGGACGGCACCGCGCCCGGCCACCTGTCCTGCCCGATGGCGTTGTTTTCTACCCAGCGTACCGAGAATTAATTTGAAGCCGAGTCGACCTAGGGGAGGCCCAGGACGGGTTCGGATAATCGCCATCACCGGCGTTGGCCCACGAGCGGGAATCGAACTCGGGTCGCCGACGTCCGACGTTCCGCTCCGCACGCCCCCCCCCCCCGCCCCCCCCCCCCCCCCCCCCCCCGGGAGCTGCGCGAGCCGGCTCCTGGCGCGACGGCGACTCCGTCTCGTCCGAGAATCGCTGCAGGCCAGCGGATTACAGAGGTCGTGGGGGTGATCCCGTGGGGCGCTAGTTGGGGGCAGCCCTATTTGGATGAACCCTCGTTTGTCGGCTTGCCCGGTAACGGAGCGCTCGGCAACTCGACGGGCAGGCTGCGCCCGCGGTGCGTCGCCTATGCCGCCGCACGTAACGGGGCGGTCGACGTCCGGTAGCCGCCCGGCGACGGTCGTCGTGGCGTTGTCCAACTGCTTGGCACGCGCCACCGGCTCGCGTGCAACGTCACAACACACACCGTGTGCACGCACACACACACACACACCGTGTGCACGCACACACACACACACCGTGTGCACGCACACACACACACACCGTGTGCACGCACACACACACACACCGTGTGCACGCACACACACACACACCGTGTGCACGCACACACACACACACACCGTGTGCACGCACACACACACACACACCATGTGCACGCACACACACCGTGTGCACGCACACACACCGTGTGCACACACACAGAGTGTGCACACACACACAGTGTGCACACACACACAGTGTGCACACACACACACACACCGTGTACACACACACACACCGTGTACACACACACACACAGTGTACACACACACACACACACAGTGTACACACACACACACAGTGTACACACGCATGCCGTGTACACACACACCGTGTACACACACACCGTGTACACACACACCGTGTACACACACACACACACCGTGTACACACACATACCATGTACGCACATGCAACCTGTACACACACACACACCGTGTGCGCACACACCGTGTACACACACACACCGTGTACACACACACACCGTGTACACACACACAGTGTACACACGCATACCATGTACACACACACCGTGTACACACACACCGTGTACACACACACACCGTGTACACACACACAACATGGACGCACATGTACCCTGTACACACACACACACACACCTTGTACACACAAACACCGTGTACACACCCTGTACACACACACACATCGTGTACACACACACATTGTGTACACACACACATTGTGTACACACACATTGTGTACACACACACTGTGTACACACACACCGTGTACACACACACACACCGTGTACACACACACTCAAAATGATAGTGTGTGTACATGGCTAGGTGTCTGGCCGACTCGCGACGGCGTTGAGATCCAGGACTCGTCATGCTTCAGCGGATCCACTGGGCCTCGCTATAGTAATGTGGAGTTTCCGCCACTGCATCATGCACGCTGACGTGTTAGCGACCGTGGACATGCGCGGCTGTTGAGTTGCGACTTGCGCTGTGCGTGCGTGTGCGCGTTGCCGTGCCTGTGTGTGTGTACATGTGAATCTGTTCGGGCTTGTGTGCATGCTTGTTTATGTGTGTGCGTGCGTATTTATGTTGTTATTGCGTGCGTATTTACGTGTGTGCGTGTTTCTGTGTGTTTATGTGCGTGCGTATTTATGTGCATGCTTGTTTATGTGCGTGCGTGTTTCTGTGCGTGCGTGTTTATGTGCGTGCGTGTTTCTGTGCGTGCGTGTTTATGTGCGTGCGTGTTTCTGTGCGTGCGTGTTTCTGTGCGTGCGTGTTTCTGTGCGTGCGTGTTTATGTGCGTGTGTGTGTGTTTATGTGCGTGTGTGTGTTTATGTGCGTGTGTGCGTGTTTATGTGCGTGCGTGTTTCTGTGCGTGTGTGTTTATGTGCGTGTGTGCATGTTTATGTGCGTGCGTGTTTATGTGCGTGTGTGCGTGTTTAATGTGCGTGCGTGTGTGCTTATGTGCATGCATGTGTGCTTATGTGTGTACGTGTGTGCGTCTTTATGTGCATATGTGTGTGCGTGCGTTCTTCTGTGCATGTGTGCGTGCGTGTTTATGCGCGTGCGTATGTGCGTGCGTGTGTGCATACGTATTTACGTCCGTGCGTGCGTGTGTGCGTTGTTATCACCCTCTGGAGAGACAGTGGCCTTGCGATTCACCTTGCGGTTACTGCCGAAACCTTGGGGCCAATTCCTCAGACTCGGCAACTTTCACTGCCCGTTAGTTTTTCATGTGACGGTATAATAATACACCATAACACGTACAGTATTTCTATTGTAATATAATAATATGAAAAAGCGATAACGCCAAACAGCCTAGACGCGATCTCCGTGCCAAGAGCCACGTCTGTAATTACGTCTGCGACCGTTCTCGCTCCGGCGCTCGCTGCAGGAAGGGGCGGCGCCTGCCGAGCGTTGTTCGTGCAGAGCTCTCGACTGGGCGGCATGGCCACAGCGTAGAGTAGTGGCTCTTCTTCACCTGGGGTGCATGACGCAATGACTTCCCCTGGGGTTGCGAGATGCCCTTTCAGCGGGGTTTACGAGACACGGTCAGATGTTTTTGAAAGGTAAATAATCGAAAACACGAATTAAGCATGGGCCACGTAAGTACAACTACATCGAACACTATTTATTTGCTAACACGATCCATCACTTAACGATTAAGTACCATAGGGCTGCAAAGGCTGCAGTAAAGGTGAAGAACCGCTGGCGTACAGTGAGGGAAAAAAGTATTTGATCCCATGCTGATTTTGTACGTTTGCCCACTGACAAAGAAATGATAAGTCTATAATTTTAATGGTAGGTTTAATTGAGCAGTGAGAGACAGAATAACAACAACAAAATCCAGAAAAACGCATGTCAAAAATGTTATAAATTGATTTGCATTTTAATGAGGGAAATAAGTATTTGACCCCTCTGCAAAACATCACTTAGTACTTGGTGGCAAAACCCTTGTTGGCAATCACAGAGGTCAGACGTTTCTTGTAGTTGGCCACCAGGTTTGCACACATCTCAGGAGGGATTTTGTCCTACTCCTCTTTGCAGATCTTCTCCAAGTCATTAAAGTTTCGAGGCTGACGTTTGGCAACTCGAACCTTCAGCTCCCTCCACAGATTTTCTATGGGATTAAGGTCTGGAGACTGGCTAGGCCACTCCAGGACCTTAATATGCTTCTTCTTGAGCCACTCCTTTGTTGCCTTGGCCGTGTGTTTTGGGTCATTGTCATGCTGGAATACCCATCCACGACCCATTTTCAATGTCCTGGCTGAGGGAAGGAGGTTCTCACCCAAGATTTGATGGTACATGGCCCCGTCCATCGTCCCTTTGATGCGGTGAAGTTGTCCTGTCCCCTTAGCAGAAAAACACCCACAAAGCATAATGTTTCCACCTCCATATTTGACAGTGGGGATGGTGTTCTTGGGGTCATAGGCAGCATTCCTCCTCCAAACACGGCGAGTTGAGTTGATGCCAAAGAGCTCCATTTTGGTCTCATCTGACCTCAATTTCACCCAGTTGTCCTCTGAATCGTTCAGATGTTCATTGGCAAACTTCAGACGGGCATATATATGTGCTTTCTTGAGCAGGGGGACCTTGCAGGTGCTGCAGGATTTCAGTCCTTCACGGCGTAGTGTGTTACCAATTGTTTTCTTGGTGACTATGGTCCCAGCTGCCTTGAGATCATTGAGAAGATCCTCCCGTGTAGTTCTAGGCTGATTCCTCACCGTTCTCATGATCATTGCAACTCCACGAGGTGAGATCTTGCATGGAGCCCCAGGCCGAGGGAGACTGACAGTTCTTTTGTGTTTCTTACATTTGCGAATAATCGCACCAACTGTTTTCACCTTCTCACCAAACTGCTTGGCAATGGTCTTGTAGCCCATTCCAGCCTTGTGTAGGTCTACAATCTTGTCTCTGACATCCTTGGAGAGCTCTTTGGTCTTGGGCATGGTGGAGAGTTTTGAATCTGATTGATTGATTGTTTCGGTGGACAGGTGTCTTTTATACAGGTAACAAGCTGAGATTAGGAGCACTCTTTTTAAAAGTGTGCTCCTAATCTCAGCTCGTTACCTGTATAAAAGACATCTGGGAGCCAGAAATCTTTCTGATTGAGAGGGGGTCAAATACTTATTTCCCTCATTAAAATGCAAATCAATTTATAACATTTTTGACATGCGTTTTTCTGGATTTTTCTGTTGTTATTCTGTCTCTCACTGTTCTAATAAACCTACCATTAAAATTATAGACTGATCATTTCTTTGTCAGTGGGCAAACGTACAAAATCAGCAGGGGATCAAATACTTTTTTCCCTCACTGTAGATGCACAAGGGACGAATAAAACGCTCGCAGGGCACGCATTCGCCGAGTCCCCTCTGACAACGTCGCGTGAAAACTCAACTCTCGTTGGCAAAGAGGGATCCGCTGGGATAGAGAAAAATATATAAAATAGACTCTCACAACGAGCCCACAGCTGTGAATTGAACTCCATTCCATTCACGCGTGGTGATGGCGGCAGCAGCGATGTGGTTCAGGAGCGAGATGCCAATGTGGAGGTCTGCAGCTGTCGGTGCTGGTGGCCACGACGAGAGGGCTTCAGCACAGGGAGAGAGAGAGTTCGTGTCGTGCCGCTGTTCCTCCTTCTCCGTTAAATGGGCTCAGTCTGCAGTGGGCTCACTGTGCGGTCCCTCATTTGGGTTGCTTGGCCACAATCGCCTTTCTTTAATGTGGCTCTACGAGTCTCGGAGCGTCTCTTTGTAACCTGTAGGTCTCTGCGCATCTCTCCCTGTGTGTCTCTATGGGTTACTGTACGGTCTACAGTTTGCATCGCGTGGAATCGATAGGGGGATGGGGGGGGAATGTGGGTTTGTGCGTGCCGTTGGGGAGTGGGGGTGCGTGGGGGGTGAGTACCAGGGGTTGCGTGGGGGGTGCGGGTGGAGGAGGTGGGGGGTGCTGCCGTGACTCACGCTCGTGCCGTCTCGCGCTCGATCAGCGCCTCGTTGAGGAGCCGGTTGAGCTCCTGCTCGTTCTGCTGCGCGTCGATCACCCGCACCGCTAGGTCGCGCAGGCGCAGCCTCCGCCGCGGGTTGGGGAAGGAGGGGTTCACCACCTGTGGGGGAGGACACCGCAGCGCCGGCTCTCACTGGGAGGGCCGCTTCCGCCTCGCGGCACAACCCACATCCCGGGCACGGCACGGTGGCCCAAACCACAACTTGGACGCGGACGCGCGGTGAACGCGCGCGCACGCACCCGACGACAGCAACAGCCGCCGTTCGCCACAAAGTGCCGGTGATGGCGCTTGTGCCAGGATAGGTGCACTTTGAGGCCACGTGAAGTGTCGAAAGCTCATTGCTGGCAGGAGGTCACGGGACAGACCCAGCAAGTGACATGGGTTGACTGACTTAGATGGCTGGCAGAGGAACCACCTGTGCTCCCTGCTGTGCCAGCTTGCTGTGTTTTAGCCGCCCGACGCTCCACTCGTTGTTGTGAGCGTCGTTGCCCTGCCCTTCGCTGTTGTTGGAGGGCGACTGCCTCCAACTGCCCAGTGGCAGCAGCGTCCTTCACGAGCCTCCTTCACACCGCTGGTACCAGTCATCGTCAAGTCCACTCGGCTCCATATCCTGCTGTACTGCATTAGCCCATCTCTTCTCTAGCCCATGTCGTGCCCATTCACACACGCAGACACGCACAAATGCACACATGCACACGCAGAAACAGACCGTTGGGGCAAGTGCTGTTAGCGAGCACCTATGAGGGTCGGCATGGCAAACGAGGGGGTGGGTGGCCAGAGCTACGCCCGGCCGCTTTTGTCTCCCTCGTGGCAATGTTTATACACCTCAGCAGGTACTCATTTGAGGCCGAGCCGACCTAGGGGAGGACCAGAACCGGTTAAGATAATCGTCACCGGTGTTGGCCGTGAGCGGGATTTGAACTCGGGTCACTGGGATCGTAGCGCAGTGCGCTAACTGCTATGCCACACACACACACGCACATGTAGAACACACCCACACACACGCAAAACACACCCACACACACACGCACACGTAGAACACACACACACACGCGCGTGTGTGCGTGCGTGCGTGTGTGCCCACGGCCTCACCCGCGAGTCGAGTTCGTCCCTCTCGGGTGTGAGGTTGGCCTGCAGTGCGCCGCTCCACTCCGTGGTGTTGATGAGCTTGGGGGAAGTCTCGTCGCACGACGTCAGCGACAGCTTCTGAAACACAGTGGCCTATCAGTGGCCTCCCAACACAGTGGCCTGTCAGTGGCCTCTCAACTCAGTGGCCTCTCAACACAGTGGCCTATCAGTGGCCTCCCAACACAGCGGCCTCTCAACAAAGCGGCCTCTCAACACAGTGGCCTCTCAACACAGCGGCCTCTCAACACAGCAGCCTCTCAACAGAGCAGCCTCTCAACAGTGGCCTATCAGTGGCCTCTCAACTCAGTGGCCTCTCAACACAGCGGCCTATCAGTGGCCTCTCAACTCAGTGGCCTCTCAACATAGTGCCTCTCAACACAGTGGACTCTCAACACAGTGGCCTATCAGTGGCCTCTCAACACAGCGGCCTATCAGTGGCTTCTCAACATAGTGGCCTCTCAACACAGTGGCCTCTCAACACAGCGGCCTCTCAACACAGTGGCCTCTCAACACAGTGGCCTCTCAACACAGCGGCCTCTCAACACAGTGGCCTCTCAACACAGTGGCCTCTCAACACAGTGGCCTCTCAACACAGCGGCCTCTCAACACAGCGGCCTCTCAACACAGCGGCCTCTCAACACAGTGGCCTCTCAACACAGCGGCCTCTCAACACAGTGGCCTATCAGTGGCCTCTCAACACAGTGGCCTCTCAACACAGCGGCCTCTCAACACAGTGGCCTCTCAACACAGCGGCCTCTCAACACAGTGGCCTCTCAACACAGCGGCCTCTCAACACAGCAGCCTCTCAACAGAGCAGCCTCTCAACACAGTGGCCTATCAGTGGCCTCTCAACACAGTGGCCTCTCAACACAGTGGCCTATCAGTGGCCTCTCAACACAGTGGCCTCTCAACACAGTGGCCTCTCAACACAGTGGCCTATCAGTGGCCTCTTAACACAGCGGCTTCTCAACACAGTGGCCTATCAGTGGCCTATCAACACAGTGGCCTCTCAACACAGTGGCCTCTTAACACAATGGCCTATCAGTGGCCCCTCAACACAGTGGCCTATCAACACTGCCCGACACACTGGTACCTGACCGCCCATCCATAAATTATTAAACTAAACTATTTTAATTTTACCAGGTAAGGCCCACTTAGCTATGTTGCTCTTATTCAGAAGCGACCTGTCTATCACAGATGATAGCTCAATGAATTGGCTTATCACGTGGAAATTTATATCAGCAAACTACTCTAAATAAATTAAGTTGATTCTAATCTGGAGGGAAACACCGGAGGACCTGGAGAAAAATCCAGTTTAGCACGTGGGAGGCTTTCACGACCAATATTATTCATAATAAAGGTTTTTGGGTTAGAGCGCGTTATTTATAAATGTGTCGCAACCCTCCACCACACGACACGGTCAATCAGTAAAAAAATGTGTCACGTTGACAAAAGACAAATAGTTCATTACTTTAGCCCACCGGTGTGTTAAAGAGTGAATCCACAACATTTACAATTTTTGAGTACAACGTTTTGGTGGTAATTACATCCAGCATCATCGGGCAATTTGCCAGAATAGTGAAGCACTCCACCTGCTCCCGGTCTTAAATAGAGCAGCAGGGTGACATAATTAAATCCACGTGACCACGGGGGAGAAAGACATGCAAACTCCAAATATACAGGCATCAGGATTGGGATCAAACCCACGACCTCCCGTATGCCTAGCGAGGTAGTTAACATTTCGCCACCGCGGCGCCCCGTCACCTGACTGCCCGTGCCGACCTTCACAGGTGCTGCACATGAACAGAACTTTCACCAACAGTCAAGGCCATACAGGCGATCTTTGTCTTTGTAACCATGCAACGAACCCCGCGATCCGAGTTCGATTCACGCTCACGGTCAAGACCAGCGACGATAATCTGAACCGGCGCCGGGCCTCCCCTAGTACCCGGTGCGATGTACAAAAATCGCCACCGGCGTGACAACGGTGGCCGGGCCCGGTGCCGGCCACCCACCCACCCACCCACCCACCCCCTCGTGCGCCGTGGCGGGCTTCAAAGGCGCCGCTGCTACTCGCTAGTTGCACGGCGCGGTGGAGGCTACGCGGGGAACCCGTGTCCTTGGTGTGGCACGTACGACGCCGTTGATGCCGTTGCGGGGCGGCGGGCTGGGCGGCACCACGAGGTAGGTGACGATGCCCTTCTCGCGGAGGTACTCGTTCCTCGCTCCGCCGTCGCCCGGCTCCACCTCGAACTCGCCCTTGAGGCACTCGAACGTCACCTGGGAGATGTGCACGCGCCTGCACGCACACGCGCACAATGATGCATGGCAAGTCCTCATTATGACGCGGCTCTCCTGACTCTAACCCTGACCCTAAATGCCATCGTGATCCTGACCCCAACCCTGACCCCCGAGTCTGACCCCGGGATGCCGCCGGCCTCCATCTTGTTGGCCAGCGTCACGTCCGTGGACCAGACGTCGAACTGCCACTTCTTCTGTCCAAGGACCCCGCCCAGCACGGCGCCCGTGTGGATGCCCACACGCATGTTCACGTCCGTCTTGGTCTTCTCGCGCACGTAGCTGCAGCACGCGCAGACACACACTTGTATTATACCTGTACACACACACACACACGTGTACTATACCTGTACACAGAGACTCGTACACACACGTGTATTATACCTGCACACACACGCAGGCTCGTACATGTGTGCACACACACTCGTACATGTGTACACACACGTGTATAGAGAAGGCCCAGGATCCGTTCAGATATCCGTTACCGACGTTGGCCGTGAGCAATCCTGACCCTGATGCCTGCTGTATATTTGGAGTTTGCGTGTCTCTCTCTTTCCCCGTGGAGATGTTTACTACCTCGCCTGGCATACAGGAGGTCGTGGGTTCGATGCAGACCCTGGCGCCTGCCGTATATTTGGAGTTTGCGTGTATCTTTCTCTTTTTGTCTCCCTGTGGTCATGTGGATTTTTCTCCGGGCGCTCCGGTTTTTCCCTCAACATTTACAATAAACATCGTGTGTTCAGAGTTTTTGGCTGCTATACATTTCCATGTGATAAGCCACTTCGTTGGGCTATCATGTGTGATAGCCAGGTCGCTGTTGTAAAAGAGCTATATCTAGTTCCAGTGGGCCTTACCTTGTAAAATAAGATTTTTTTTCAATAATGTATAGGCATTTGCGAATACTACTTTCCCCAACAGTCTGGTCCAGGCTATATGGGAGACTTTTGTCTGTGTGTGTGCATGGCCGCCACCAGTGACGATTATCTGACCCGGTGGTGGGCCTCCCCTAGGTCGACTCAGCCTCAAATTAGTACCTGGTGCAGTGCGTAAACATCGTCACCGGGGAGATGAATGCGGCCGAGCGTGGTGCTGGCCACCCACCCCCTCGTGTGGCGTTCTGGCCTTCGTAGGTGCTACTCGCTAACAGCACTTGCCCGACAGTCTGTTAAGGGGCTACACGGGGCGTCTTTGTCTTTGTGCTCACGAGATGGCGTTGACCATGGCGAGCCCCATGTAGATGCAGCAGGCCCGCGTGGTCCTCGCGGAACTCGGGGACCCCGCAGATGCAGTAGTAGCAGTCGCCCAGGATCTTGATACGCAGCTGTGAGTACGTCTACTCGCGCACGACGCACGCACAAAGACAAAGATCCCCCGTGTAGCCTTCACGGACTGTTGGGCAAGTGCTGTTCGGGAGTAGCACCGAAATAGGGTCGTACGGCACACGATGAGGTGGGGGGCCAGCACCATGCCCGGCTGCCTTTGTCTCCATTTGTGGTGATATTTACACATCGGACCAGGAAGACGTTTTTGAGGCTGAGTCGACTTAGAGGAGGCCCAGGACCGGCTCAGATAATCATCATTGGTGTTGACCGTTAGCGGGAATCGAACTCAGGTGGTCGAGTTCATAGCACAGCGCCCTAAGAACTACACTACCGCTCCCCACCGCACACGCAGAGACATAGACATTGCTGGCGAATACCAGAAGCGGTCCTGGGCCTCCCCTAGATCGATTGAACCTGAAGTGGGAACCTGGGACGGTGTGTGATCAACGTCAGCAATGGGGAGACAAAGGTGGCCAAGCTCGATGGCGTTGGCCGGAGCATGCCCTCTTGCACGATGCCAGGCTGACCAGGTGCTCACAGACAGTTGTTTCCCCCAACGATCCGTGCCACAAGCGGGGAGAGGGGATATCTTCGTCTGCTGTTTGTGAGAGATTCTCCTTCTGTGCGTGTCTACGTATTCCTGTCCGCACGTCCACTTGCGTGTGCCCGCGTATGCTGTTTAAACATATTTGCGTGCGAGTATAGATGTACGTGTGTGTGACCGTACATAAACGTCCGCATGCGCGCGTGTGTGTGTGTGTGTACAAGCACCATTAATCCGCTACACTTGCCCATGTGTCTGCTCTGCAAAGAGCCTTCAAGTGGGCCCCCATACGCCAGGCGCCGAGTCAATATTATGATAACAGGCGGAGGAGGGAGCGCCGCGCGGCACGATTGTGTTCTCGGCGGTCCGGGCAAAACCAACCCGAGCCACCCTGTTAATGTTTCACCACCGCAGCCCCTGGTCACGTCCGCCGGCACTGGGCCGTGGCGTTGTTGCATCGCAGGCAGGGCAGCCGCCTCCTCCGTGTGGCCCGTCCAGATGCGGAGCGACCGCCACGAGACGACATTGCGGTGGTTGATGAGCCAGGATGATTGCGTCAGGTATAATGAGGTGATGAATCATCACTGTGATGGTGCCTCCTTTTATGAAGATCTCTGTATGGGTCAGAGGGTCTCTGTGTGAGTCTATGGGTCACTATTTGAGTCTATGGGTCTCTATGTGAGTCTATGGGGCTATCTATGAGCCAATGGGCTCAATGTGAGTCTATTGGTCTTGGTGTAAACCTATGCGTCCCGGTGGGAATCTGTGGGTCCCGGTGGGAATCTATAGGTCTCGGTGTGAGTCTATGGATCTCGGTGTGAGTCTATGGGTCTCGGTGTGAGTCTATGGGTCTCGGTGTGAGTCTATGGGTCTTGGTGTAAGTCTATGGGTCTTGGTGTGAATCTATGGGTCTTGGCGTGAGTCTATGGGTCTTGGCGTGAGTCTATGGGTCTTGGTGTGAGTATATGGGTCTTGGCGTGAGTCTATGGGTCTTGGTGTGAGTCTATGGGTCTTGGCGTGAGTCTATGGGTCTTGACGTGAGTCTATGGGTCTTGGTGTGAGTCTATGGGTCTTGGCGTGAGTCTATGGGTCTCTGTGCGTCTATGGGTCTTGGTGTGAGCCTATGGGTCTCGGTGTGAGTCTATGGGTCTCGGTGTGAGTCTATGGGTCTTGGCGTGAGTCTATGGGCCTCTGTGTGAGTCTATGGGTCTTAGTGTGAGTCTATGGGTCTCGGTGTGAGTCTATGGGTCTCGGTGTGAGGCTATGGGTCTTGGTGTGAGTCTATGGGTCTCGGTGTGAGTCTATGGGGCTCGGCGTGAGTCTATGGGTCTCGGTGTGAGTCTATGGGTCCTGGCGTGAGTCTGTGGGTCTTGGTGTGAGTCTGTGGGTCTTGGCGTGAGTCTATGGTGCTCGGTGTGAGTCTATGGGTCTTGGTGTGAGTCTATGGGTCTTGGCGTGAGTCTATGGGTCTCGGTGTGAGTCTATGGGTCTTGGCGTGAGTCTATGGGTCTCGGTGTGAGTCTATGGGTCTCGGTGGTGTGAGTCTATGGGCCTCGGTGTGAGTCTATGGGTCTTGGCGTGAGTCTATGGGTCTTGGTGTGAGTATATGGGTCTTGGCGTGAGTCTATGGGTCTTGGTGTGAGTCTATGGGTCTTGGCGTGAGTCTATGGGTCTTGACGTGAGTCTATGGGTCTTGGTGTGAGTCTATGGGTCTTGGCGTGAGTCTATGGGTCTCTGTGTGCGTCTATGGGTCTTGGCGTGAGCCTATGGGTCTTGGCGTGAGCCTATGGGTCTCGGTGTGAGTCTATGGGTCTTGGCGTGAGTCTATGGGCCTCTGTGTGAGTCTATGGGTCTCAGTGTGAGTCTATGGGTCTCGGTGTGAGTCTATGGGTCTCGGTGTGAGGCTATGGGTCTTGGTGTGAGTCTATGGGTCTCGGTGTGAGTCTATGGGTCTCGGCGTGAGTCTATGGGTCTCGGTGTGAGTCTATGGGTCTTGGCGTGAGTCTGTGGGTCTTGGTGTGAGTCTGTGGGTCTTGGCGTGAGTCTATGGGTCTCGGTGTGAGTCTATGGGTCTTGGTGTGAGTCTATGGGTCTCGGTGTGAGTCTATGGGTCTTGGTGTGAGTCTAGGGGTCTTGGCGTGAGTCTATGAGTCTTGGCGTGAGTCTATGGGTCTTGGTGTGAGTCTATGGGTCTTGGCGTGAGTCTATGGGTCTCGGTGTGAGTCTATGGGTCTTGGTGTGAGTCTATGGGTCTCGGTGTGAGTCTATGGGTCTTGGCGTGAGTCTATGGGTCTCGGTGTGAGTCTATGGGTCTTGGCGTGAGTCTATGGGTCTCGGTGTGAGTCTATGGGTCTCGGTGGTGTGAGTCTATGGGTCTCGGTGTGAGTCTATGGGTCTCGGTGTGAGTCTATGGGTCTCGGTGTGAGTCTATGGGTCTCGGCGTGAGTCTATGGGTCTCGGTGTGAGTCTATGGGTCTCGGTGTGAGGCTATGGGTCTTGGCGTGAGTCTATGGGTCTTGGCGTGAGTCTATGGGTCTTGGCGTGAGTCTATGGGCCTTGCCGTGAGTATATGGGACTCGGCGTGAGTCTCTGGGTCGCTATGTGAGTCTATGGGTCTCGGTGTGAGTCTATGGGTCTCGGTGTGAGTCTGTGAGTCTCGGTGTGAGTCTATGGGTCTCGGCGTGAGCCTATGGGTCTCGGTGTGAGTCTATGGGTCTTGGTGTGAGTCTATGGGTCTTGGTGTGAGTCTATGGGTCTTCGCATGAGTCTATGGGTGTCGGTGTGAGTCTATGGGTCTTGGTGTGAGTCTATGGGTCTTGGTGTGAGTCTATGGGTCTTGGTGTGCGTCTATGGGCCTTGGTGTGCGTCTATGGGCCTCGGTGTGAGTCTATGGGTCTTGGTGTGAATCTATGGGTCTTGGCGTGATTCTATGGGTCTTGGCGTGAGTCTATGGGTCTTGGCGTGAGTCTAGGGGTCTTGGCGTGAGTCTATGGGTCTTGGCGTGAGTCTATGGGTCTTGGCGTGAGTCTATGGGTCTTGCCGTGAGTCTATGGGCCTCAGTGTGAGTCTATGGGTCTCTATGTGTGTCTATGGGTCTCGGCGTGAGTCTATGGGTCGCTATGTGAGTCTATGGGTCTCGGTGTGAGTCTATGGGTCTCGGTGTGAGTCTGTGAGTCTCGGTGTGAGTCTATGGGTCTCGGCGTGAGGCTATGGGTCTCGGTGTGAGTCTATGGGTCTTGGTGTGAGTCTATGGGTCTTGGCGTGAGTGTAGGGGTCTTGGCGTAAATCTAGGGGTCTTGGCGTGGATCTATGGGTCTTGGTGTGAGTCTATGGGTCTCGGTGTGAGTCTATGGGTCTTGGTGTCTGTCTATGGGTCTCGGCGTGAGTCTATGGGTCTCTGTGTGAGTCTATGGGTCTTAGTGTGAGTCTGTGGTCTCTATGTGTGTCTATGGGTCTCGGCGTGAGTCTATGGGTCTAAGTGTAAGTCTATGGGTCTCTATGTGTGTCTATGGTTCTTGGCGTGTCTATATATCTATTATTCTTCTTCATGTGGCTGATCTAGATGTGGAGCCACAGGTGTGTGATGCTAAATCGCCGTGGTTGATGAGCCAAGGTGATTGCTGTAATGATGACAATGATGATGCCACCCCGTCAGTGTTTGTAAAAAGGCCATTCAGTCCACGCTGCGTGCCTCACGGTTCTGTTCTGGGTGGGGGTGTGTGTTTATATTTATATGTATGCTACACTACCGTGGGGAGCGGTCGTGTAGCAGTTAGCGCTACACTGCGCTATGAGCCCAGCGACCCAAAGTTCGATTCCCGCTCATGGCCAACACAAGTGACGATTATATGAACTGGTCCTGGTCCTCGCCTAGGTCGACTCAGCCTCAAAATAGTACCTGATGCGGTGTGTAAACATCGCCACCGGGGAGACAAAGGCGGTCGGGCATTGTGCTGGCCACCCACCCCCTTGTGTACTGTTCCGGCCTTCGTAGGTGCTCGCTAACAGCACTTGCCCCAACAGTATGTTAAGGCTATACAGGGGTTATTTGTTTTGTACATACAATGTTGAATTTCTTTTGCACCGTATATAGCCAACTTCCCATTGGTGCATCATCAAAGTTGCAACGGCTTAGGGAGGTCTGCATTCAGCAGTGAACAGATCACGGCTGCAGATGATGATATTGATTTCCTTGGGGGCCGCTTGGACTGTGGGGGCCATGGGGCGCCATGTGGGCGGTGGGGGCCGTGTGGGCCGTGTGGGCCTTGGGGACCATGTGGGGAGATGTGGAACGTGTGTGACGTGGGGTCTGTGTGGGCTGTGTGGGCCGTGTGGGCCATGTAGGCCGTGTGGGCCATGTGGGACGTGTGGGTCCATGGGGGCCGTGGGGGTTATGGGGGCCATGTGGGTGGTGGGGGCCGTGGGTGGCCGTGTCAGCCGTGGGGGCCGTGTCAGCCGTGTGGGCCATGGAGGGCCATGTGGTCCGTGCGGTCCGTGCGGTCCGCGAGGGCCGTGCGGTCCGCCGTGTCGGCCGTGGGGGCCGTGTGTGCCATGGAGGGTCATGTGTTCCGTGCGGTCCGTTAGAGCCGTGCGGTCCGTGCGGGCCGCGGGTGGCCGTGTGGGCCGTGGGATGAGGCGCTCACCGCGGCCAGCTTGTCGAACCTCGCGAAGAGCTCATTGAGCAGCTTGACGAGCTCGTGCGCGCTGCACGCCGACGAAAGCTGCGTGAAGCCCACGATGTCCGCAAACAGGATGCTGCGCACGCACGCACGCAGCAGCAACAACAACAACAACAACTCGCATTTACACTGCGCCCATGGAGCAACCGGCATGGTGAAGTACGGTCAAACAAAAAAAATCCGCCGTGGCCGACAGTGCGTCCAGAGGCCTTCGTCGATTGGTCGGCCCAGAGCGGGGGAGGCAGCCTGCATCGCCATTGTTACAAACGGGGGCCGTGCTTGTGGACGATGGCCGATTTTCAGAGCTCATAAATAATCAATTCAAGTTTCAAAATGCGTGCCGATGATGTTCCGATGACCTGCCCCCTTAATCAAGTTGGGTTTGACCGTGGTTGATTTCCCGCAAAGTGGTACTCGTTTCTCTTTTGACACGCCTGCAGAGATGATGGGCCAAGTCACGTAGGTAAAAAATAAAACAATAAAAATAAAAATCACGATGTTTCGGCCACAACACAAGTGGCCTTCATCAGGTGAAAGGACCGGACTGTCCAGAGGACAGCGTTGGAGTGAAAACAGCCAAACCCAGGTCGCGTCCTTTAAGCTGTGTGGGAGGACTTTACCAAATAGAACCAAAGAGTATGGATCCTTGCAGTCACGAAAGCTTCAAATCTAGAAATGATGGGCCAAGTTGTGCTCATGACCTCCCGAGTCCCGCGGCAGCACGCGGACCGCTTACAGTGTGACATTTGAGGCGTTGCTTACGTGTGACGTTAATAATTTACTGCGCTCCGTCAGTCTATCCACTGCCGGGTGAAGGCCTCGACCATGCCGTGTCGGCCATGCAGTGCTCGTTGCGGTGACCATATTTGCTGCAGCTGTGGGCGTTCGCGACGCGGGTTAGGTTTTCTTCTGGTTTGTACCGCGTGCCGTGCGCGCACAACGTCCCGACGTTTCGCTCCGACGCGCCGGTCAAGTACGGCTAGACGACCACCCCCACCAAGCCACCCCCCCCCCCAATGGCCGAAACAAAAACGGGGCCCTCGACGGCTCCCCGAGAGGGTCCCACAGAGGAGCGGAACGTCGGGACGCCAGCGGCTGCCACGCGGGAGCACGGCGCGGCGCGAGCGGGGAAACAGGCGGCCCTGGCGGGCAGAGCGCGGCCCTTGGTACAGCAACGGCCCCCCTCCCCCACACTCCCTACCCCCCCGCCCCCCCACCACCCTCCGCCGGCCCCTCGCGGTCGCCCGAGCAGCAGAGCGGACAACCGGCGAAGGTGGTCGAGGCAAACACGCGCGCGGTAAATTGAGCCCGGCAACGTCGGGCCCACGGTGCCTTCCGGCGAGCTTCGCGGAGAGAGACCGGAGACAGCCGAGAGGATAGCACCGCTCGAGAGGAGTTGCCGCTTCGATTCCATGCCCCTGCGTGGCCGTAGAACCAATGGGGGTGAAGTTTCTGAGGTCACCTGTCCACGCAGCACGGTAAACGGGCACAACCCCAGCGAGTGAATCGTCTGGTCGTGTGCGGTGGTGTACGAACCGTATGTTGAACTTCTTTCGCGTCGCACGTGGTCAGGTGCGGGGGGAAGGACAACAAACTGAATACTAAAAAGCAGTCGGGTAAATTGTTGGTCAGCGTCAAAGTATCCCGAGGGCTCTCTCACCTTAGTGAAGGCCCTTTCGGCGGCAGCGAGTGATTGCAGGGCTGCGCCTTTAACCTTTCCGTCATTCGTGGGACAGCGTTAGTCAGTCCAGTGGTGCCCGGAGCGAGTGTTGAGGCGGTGCAACTATAAACTGAACAATTTTTTTTTATCTTGTCACGTAAGGCCCGCTCAGCTGTGTAGCGACCTGATGTGCAGCTCAAAGTGGTTTATAGCCATGGGGAAATTTATAGCAGCAGCCAAATACTCTCAACGCGTGACGTTGATTCTAAATGTGCAGGGAAAAACCGGAGGAGCTGGGGAAAAAACCCATGCGACCACGGGGAGAGAGACACGCAAACTCCAAATATACAGCAGACATCAGGGTCAAAATCGAACCAAAGACCTCCTGTATACCAGGCGAGGTAGTTAACATCTCCACGGGGAGAGAGAGAGACACGCAAACTCCAAATAATCAGCAGGCATCAGGGTCGGGATAGAACCAACGACCTCCTGTATACGAGGCAAGGGAATTAACATCTCGCCACCACTGGAGCACCATGAGCTGAAGGGGGCCCAGGCGTTGGGCTGCAAAGATGGGGGTAGGGGGGTTTGGTACCAGAAATCCCGTTTCATTCTTGGCTCCAAGGGGTCCATGCCTACCACGCTGCGCAGCCGCATCTCCTCGCGTTTCAAACTCACGGCGTCTTCCAAGCGAGAATCGGTGGGGGGGAGTGGGGGGGGCACTGCCTAACCCACCCAATCGGCAGCCCCGGTTTGTCAGTGGTGGAAATTCGACGTTCCTCGAATGGGGTGAAAATCTCTCCACAGGATAGACGCTGTTGAGATCCCTCAAAGTGGCGCTCGTTCTATCACCGCTGAAGGGAGGATGGCGCGAGTCGACCCTCCCGGCCGGGATTTTATTTTTTATAGTTTGTATTCCTATCGTGTTTGTGTACTGTTTGTTCTTGTAACGTTCTGACCCCGAACCTCACCTGGACATCTGTGAAAAAGAGATGTATAGCTCATCGGATTCCTCCTACAGTCTAAATACATGTTCTGATTACAGAATATGCTTCGAGTTATCAGGCTTATCTAAATGAAGAACCAAATTGGAGGCAACGACTTGTGGCTTTTTTTTTCCTGTGCGGTCGCTGGCCGGCGCGGTGACAACGGGGCTGAGGGTGCATCAACGCGCGACACCCACGAGGACTCGGCTGCATCACACGGCCCCGCAGCCCTCTTGAAACTGAAGACACGAGGACTCACGGCGGGGGGGGGGGGGGCTAACGGGACGCAGCGTCGACAAGCCACTCTCGCTCTCTCTCTCGGCGATGTTGCCACGTGAGTGCAAACAAGGCGATCACCTCCCAACTAAACTATCGTGCCTCCGCAGCGACGTTGACGGACGTTGGTTTCCACCGTTATCGTTGTGGTCGTCATTTGACGAGCAGCGCATCGTTGCGATAATCCGAGCCATGCCCCAACGGGTCCGTCGGCTCGCTGTGTGCGGGCAGGCCTCCGTCCAGCAGCGCATGGACAAGGCGACGGTTTTTAAGAATTAATATTGCCCGGGGGGGATCCGAAACCCGAAAAAAACTCAACAGTGCCGACTCGGGCACCTCGAAAACGGCCGTCATGAATCCCCGAATCCCGGGTCAGGTTCCAGGAACGTCATCGGGTCGGCGGCCAAATGCCCGGCGAAAGTGGGCAAAGGTGGGCAAAGGTGGGCAAAGGTGGGCAAAGGTGGGCAAAGGTGGGCAAATGTGTGTCCCGTTGGCGTGACAAGCCACTGAAGGCGACAATCACTGACACGGGCGCCACAGAGCCATCCCTGCTCTCGGTTTATTCGATTTGCCTCCGCTCCCGTCCTGCACCTCAGCTGCCCAGGGAGGTTTTTGTCAAATATTTGCGGACGACTGGCAGAACAATGAGGACACTTCAAATGTTTGCCGTGAACAGGATGCATTGGTACGGCCCATTACCATAACGGAGGAGGCTGTGTGTGTGTGCGCACGCGTGCGCGTTCGTGTGGGGGAGCTGTAGTGGAGCTGTTAGCAGGTTGCGCTACCAACCCGGTGAAACCGAGTTCGATTTCTGCTCATGGCGAACACCAGTGACAATTATCTGAACCGGTCCTGGGCCTCACCGAGGTCTACTCAGCCTCAAATGAATACCTGGTACGACAATGCATGGTGCTGGCCACCCACCCCTTCGTGTGCTGTGCTGGCATTCATAGGTGCTCACGAACAGCACTTGCCCTAACAGTCTGTTAAGGCTATACCGGGGATCTTTGTTTTCGAATCTGATTGCCCTATGGGAGCGCCCTACAGCTCGTCACTAGAACGTGGAATTTCCACCACTGGCCACGGAGATGAGCACCGTCCCCCCTGCTGCTCGTTGGTTGAGTGCCCCGTTTGGACCGGCTGCGGCAACTCGGGTCCCAATTATATTCAGCTTACGCAGTTTGAACTTGGCCGTCGTTTCGGGCCGGTGCCCACACTCTCCGGGCAACCGGCTTTCGCTTCCCCGGGCTCGGCCTGGATTCCTGACGTCGGCAATCCTGCCGAGCGTCGCGATCACAAACGCCGTGGCCGTTGGCGGATGTTTTGACTCGGCACTTGGGTTTAAAATTCAACTTTAGGCACTCGGTTCCATCCTCACACTTCGCTCCTGACCTTCCACACCATGGGTTATAGTCGGACTGACGTCTGCTCGACCTTGCGCGGTAACTCTCGAGAGACCTCATACAATCGTGGGAACGCCAAATGTGACCGACCCCGAGATGCCCGTCACCCCGAGTTCAGCGCAGCCCGTACCTCACCAGGCTCCGGAGAAAAAGGACTGGGCGGGCGGTTAGCACGGTTGGCTACGTATGGTGCGAAAGAAGTTCAACATTCATACAAACCTATTGAAGTGCACGCCTGACTCTGCCCTGATGAGACATTGAATGTCGAGGCCAGCTCAGAGTTATTGAACCAATGCTGCTGAAGTTACGCACCCCCATAAAGAAGGCCATGTGGCTGACGGGATGTATAAAAACGTACTCAGATAAATATTTTTTTACATTGAGGCAGGGGATATATGACGGAGGTGGCTTTGTCGCCTGCCCGGTTGTGTTTTTTTCTCTCGAGTCGATCTGAGCTGGCCGCTGTGCACGCAGCCCGGTGAGGTACCGACTGCGCCGCGCCGTTTGGATGAAAGCAAAAACGATGCGAGCAACCGTGGTGGTGAGTTACAGTGGTAGCGGGGAGACCGTGGTGGCGGTGCGACCGTGGTGGCAGGAGACCGTGGTGGCGAGGGATCGTGGTGGCGAGGGATCATGGTGGCGGGAGACCGTGGTGGCGAGGGATCGTGGTGGCGAGAGACCGTGGTGGCGGGCGACCGTGGTGGCGAGGGAGCGTGGTGGCGAGGGATCGTGGTGGCGAGGGATCGTGGTG